AATATATTTTTAAATATTGTGTAAAAATTGAGTACGGTTCTCACTGCACATGCGCGTTTGCCGCCGCTTCCTCTGTTTGTGATCGATCGCAGTCGGAGCTTCTGCTGTGTCTGCGGCGCTGTTTTATCCCGTCTTTTTATATGAACTCCTGAGACTCCAGACTGGAATCTAACCAGGTAAGACGGACCGATTTCACCGATTTCGCTCTTCGGACCGACATGTGGATCTGACGATGAGCTGTGTTGCTTTAGTAAAGTTGACTTCATCACACCAGACTGTGGAAAAGTGTCCTACTGCACTTTTATAACCTTTAAACTTTAATTTAATGGTCCAGTTTAACTCAGTAGACCAGTCGACAAAGACAAGGCTGCATTTTTTGCTGGAAGTGGTCGTTACAGGCATAGATATACATACCTAGATGCCGCGTTGGGTCCAGCCAAACACGTCAACGGCGCCGCCGTTTTGGGGCGGTCAACATCGCTGCTGGACTGCATTCAGTACCATTACAGAGCGGCAGTTTAAGAAAGATACTGTCCAAAATTACACTGTTTAAAGAATATTACACTCAGAAAGTGGGACAGGATTATATAACGGAGGGAACGCAGTGATCCACACTCATGTCTGTGTGATGAGTATTGTTTGTGTGGTGTTTATGTAGATATGGTAGTGTGGTTGGTGAAGCACAGAGAACCTGTTGATGTGATTGTTTTTCCTCTGGTTTTATATTAAGCTTATTTCATTTAATAGCCTATACAGGGGGGTCATGATGTAGTAGTTATTTATTTATGTAATGAATCACCCTGTCACATCAGGTACTACCCCATCACAGTGAACCACCCCGTCACATCAGGTACCACCAGGTCACAGTGAACCACCCCATCACATCAGTTACCACCAGGTCACAGTGAACCACCCCGTCACATCAGTTACCACCAGGTCACAGTGAACCACCCCGTCACATCAGTTACCACCAGGTCACAGTGAACCACCCCGTCACATCAGTTACCACCCCGTCACAGGGAGCCACCCCGTTACATCAGTTACCACCTCATCACAGTGAACCACCCTGTCACAGTGAAGTCAGCTTCTTTTTCGCCAGCTTCTTGCTTGAATTTTCCCGTTCCACCTTAAATGGGGCACAGGGAACCACCCCGGTGTGTCAGGGAACAGTATTTTCATTTACTTAATGTTTTCTGATTTAATTGCATAATTAGTTAATTAATTATTGCATCTTCAATGTATTATGAATGTATTGAGTGTAATTATGTAGCCATTATACTCATTTTCACTTCATTAATTAAACTAAGACGATTCATGAAAACCTTATATTCTATAACATGAAGCTGGTGTATGTGACCAATATGCCCCATGATGTCTCAGCAGCCACAGCCACGCATGATGGTACCGATACAGGGACAGCGTCCACCAGTGCCTCAGAGACCTGGAGCGGTTGCCCCGGGTGTCCTGCAGGAACTGTTACGCTTGCTGAGGTCACCCAGCTCCCCCCAGCAGCAGCAGCAGCAAGTCTTCAATTTTCTCCGGGCCAATCCGCAGCTCATGGCCGCCTTCATCCATCATAGAATGGCAAATCAGGTACTACCCCATCACAGTGAACCACCCCGTCACATCAGGTACCACCAGGTCACAGTGAACCACCCCGTCACATCAGTTACCACCCCGTCACAGTGAACCACCCCATCACATCAGGTACCACCAGGTCACAGTGAACCACCCCGTCACATCAGTTACCACCCCGTCACAGTGAACCACCCCGTCACATCAGTTACCACCTCATTACAGTGAACCACCCCATCACATCAGGTACCACCAGGTCACAGTGAACCACCCCGTCACATCAGTTACCACCCCGTCACAGTGAACCACCCCGTCACATCAGTTACCACCAGGTCACAGTGAACCACCCCGTCACATCAGTTACCACCCCGTCACAGTGAACCACCCCGTCACATCAGTTACCACCTCATCACAGTGAACCACCCTGTCACAGTGAAGTCAGCTTCTTTTTCGCCAGCTTCTTGCTTGAATTTTCCCGTTCCACCTTAAATGGGGCACAGGGAACCACCCCGGTGTGTCAGGGAACAATATTTTCATTTACTTAATGTTTTCTGATTTAATTGCATAATTAGTTAATTAATTATTGCATCTTCAATGTATTATGAATGTATTAAGTGTAATTATGTAGCCGTTATACTCATTTTCACATCATTAATTAAACTAAGATGATGCATGAAAACCTTATATTCTATAACATGAAGCTGGTGTATGTGACCAATATGCCCCATGATGTCTCAGCAGCCACAGCCACGCATGATGGTACCGATACAGGGACAGCGTCCACCAGTGCCTCAGAGACCTGGAGCGGTTGCCCCGGGTGTCCTGCAGGAACTGTTACGCTTGCTGAGGTCACCCAGCTCCCCCCAGCAGCAGCAGCAAGTCCTCAATTTTCTCCGGGCCAATCCGCAGCTCATGGCCGCCTTCATCCATCATAGAATGGCAAAGAGGATGAAAAAACGGCATAGAGGAAAAAAATAGAAGAGATTTAAAAAACAAAAACAGTGCTAAGAATGTTGAGGTTTCTTTCTTTGTTTCCCTTTTTTTATTTATTTATTTTTTTTTATTTTATCCTCTCACACACACACTTGGACCGGGGCTCCACTTTTTTTTATGTAAATCATGCAAGTTATTAAGCAAAATACTATAAATATAAGGAAGAGAGAATGGAATCACTGTATAAACTGGTTAAAAAACTTATTTCTTACTTATATACCATATTGTTAAATAAACTGTGTGCAACAGATCAAATCCACTTCTGTATCATCTTCTTTGAATTACTGCATCTTGGATGTAGAAATGCTTGTGTGAGATCGTCTCGTAAACAGCGCTGGCCGTTACCAGAAAGTCTGTAAGGTTTCTGGACAGAAACAAAGCCTACTTTGACCAGAAGGGGACACGCAAAATGACCAACCACAGATTGTTGTTCTAGCCCAGGGGTCGGCAACATGCGGCTCTTTTACTGCCCTGTTGCGGCTCCACAGCAGAATCAGATTTGTAGGTAAAAATAAAATAATCCTCCTTTACAGTAAAATAAAGCTCTGCTGATCGTTCAACACAGTTTAACAATAAATGGTCTTAAACTCTGGAGTTAATGTAGAACTGCTAATTCACCCTTTAACCCTGGAGATCAGTGCAGACTGCTGGTCACCATAGCAACACAGATAACAATCTCGCCTAGCTAGTAGATAACAAAACGGCAAAGAATGATTTAAGACAAACATCGATAATTTGGAGATAAATGGACTTACTTGCGTTTATAATCACTCCAGCTGGTTTCCTGATACGTTAAATCTGCAACGAGAAACTGTCAAACACTAAAGTCACAAAACTGAAGTCAGTTTCTCGTTCGCCAGCTTCTTGTTCAAATTGTCCCATTTCACCTTAAAATGGCACAGCAGTTACATTCTGGCACCTCAGGCACATTTAAGGTGGAACGGGAAAATCAGAACAAGAAACTTGTGAATGAGAAGCGACTTCAGCCTCGTAAAAAGTCGAATGTTGAGAGACATTTTACAAGAAACTGTTCTACTTTTGTGGAAAAGTTTCCTGCTGGAGATGTGAGAAAAGCAGCTATAGCTGAGCTAAAGCTTAAAGCAGAGCAAAGTAGGTCTGCGTTGTTTTATTATATTACATTTTTAGCCTATATTAGTAGCTACACAGCACATACTGAGACATGTTTACAGCCAAGATGGTAAAATGGACTAAATGTTATGGCTCCCAAGGTAGTTTGATTTTTTTGTTGAAAGGACAAAATGGATCTTCTTAATATTGGGTTGTCGACCCTTGTTCAAGCCTGACATGTAGAACGTTGCATAGACTAGTCTTCAGTGGAATAAAGCCACTAGTTGGCGCTGTGGGAGGCACCTGGAGTGCCTGAAGTACAGAATAAGTTATGTCTGCTGAACACAAAGCCCAAATACAGTCTGTAAGCCAGACCAGGTACATTTTCTATAAGCATCGACTTAGATGAGAAAAAGGCCTCTACTTGCTAGTAAAATTTCACTTGATAAATAAGACTTTTTTCTTTGTTTCAGTGTCAAGGTGATTATTTTTTAACAAGGTGTGGCCACAAATTAATATATTGAGGCCAGAAGAAACTTAACTCGTTGCCTTAATATGTTAATATGTGGCCATGAGAAACTTAATGCGTAGAGCCAGTGTATTACTCATGGCCTCAATATATTAATTCATGGCCAGGAGAAACTTACTGTGCTTACTTGCTAGCATCAGTGTATTACTTGTGGCCTCAATACATTTGTGACCAGAAGAAACTTAACTAGTGGCCATGAAAAGCTTAACGTGTAGCCTTAATGTATTAACTTGTGGCCTCGATATATCAGTTCCAGGAGAAACTTAACTTGTGGCCTCAATATATCAGTTCCAGGAGAAACTTAACTTGTGGCCTCAGTATATTCATTTATGGCCATGAGAAGCTTATATTACATGTGGCCTCAGTATACTAATTTGTGGCCAAGAGAAACTTAACTCGTGGCCTCAATATATTCATTTGTCGCCATAAAAGTTTAGCCTCAATGTATTAACTTGTGGCCTCACGATATTAATCTTAGGAGAAACTTAACCTGTGGACTCAATACATTAAGTCGTGGACTCAATACATTAAGTCGTGGCCACGGGAACACGCCTCATTGAAAAATAGCCCCATGTCGCTTTAGGGGCTCCGTGCTCTCCCATGATGTCGGCCCTTTAGTTCAGCCGAGTGGAGCTGAAGTGTCCACTCATTGGGGTCTGCAGTGCGGCCTGTGGGTCAGTTTCCCCTCTAAGCGGGTTCTTCCCAGCAGACCTGTGCGTGTGAGAGCGCGGCTCTCCGTGGGGGTCAGATGTCCCAGCTCTCTGTCTGTGCGTGTCTTCTGCCCTGTAGCGCGTCACTATTTATGTACTGATAACGTTGTAGTGCCCTCACTGCGCATGCGCGGACACGTAAAGTTTTCTCTGCCTCTCCCTGTCTCAGTGCAGCGATACTCAGCCGGAGCTCCAGCGCTACAGGTTACAGCTCTGCGGTCATCCTGTGTCCTCATATGAACCCCCGAGACTCCAGAATGGAGCCTGAAACGGTAAGACAGTCCGATTTCGCTCACCTCGCTCTTCAGACCAGCGTCCAGACCTGAACTCTTATCGAGCAGCTCATCGGTAGAAGCGGCTGGACGTGCGATACGTGTGAGAGGAGCTCACGTAGCTCACACTTGCAGGAGCTCAGCTGCTCTGGTGACCCGGGATGACGTTTTATAAACCTTAAACTTCCTTTAAAGCTTTAAACTTTCCTCTCTGCCAGTATCTCGTCCCAGTCTCCCCACCTTGCACGGTTGTAACTGCTGCACTATTTAAGGTGGACCGGGAAATTCAAACGAGAAGCAGGCAGATAGGGAGCTGACTTCAGCCTCGAGGGTTTACTTTAGCCCTTTTTCAGTGCCTTCAGTCTGAAAATGACTTTTTCAGAAATGTATTAATGTGCTGATTTCTGCCTAATTCTGATTGGTAGAACTGAATAAGTGAACACATACAGCCTTATGTTGCTTTGAAAACCATTTGCAGTGACTTTAAAAAGCAGCACTTTTTTTTTGGTCAAATTTGACCGTTTTTTGATCATCAAATGCTATTAAAACGAACCGTATCCAATTTTGACATTAGTTGTCAAAATTGAAATAGTCAACTAAGTAAACATTTTAGGACCTGAAAAAAGACATTTAATAAAAAAAAAAATGAAAATGACCTTCCAGCGCTGATTCCTACAGAGCCCTTTAGGTGACAAGGTGATTATTTTTCAATAAGGTGTGGCCCCAAATTAATATATTAAGCCACAAGTTATGAGAAACTAAACTTATGGTTTTAATATATTAACTCGTGGCCAAAAAAATCATGACATTCTGACATTCGTTGTCGAAATTGAAATAGTCCAAAAAAAAAGAAAAACCTAATTTTGCCATTGTGGTAAAAATAAGTAAACATTTTGGAGTCTGAAAAATCGATATTTAATAAAAAAAATGGAAAATTACCTTCTAATGCTGGTTTCTACGGAGCCCCTACAGGGACAAAGTGATTTCTTTTTTAATAAGGTGTGGCCTCAAATTAATATATTAAGCCACAAGTTATGAGAAACTTAACTTATGGCTTTAATATAGTAATTTGTGGTCTCAATATATTAATTGGTGGACAGGAGAAACTTAACTCATGGCCAAGAAAAGCCCCTACAGGGACAAAGTGATTATTTTTTAATAAGATGTGGCCTCAAATTAATATGTTTAGCCACAAGTTATGAGAAACTTATCGCCTTAATGTAGTAAATTGTGGCATCAATGTAGTAATATGTTTTTAAACACTGTGTCCACTCACTGTCCACTCTATTAGACACTCCTACCTTCTCAGTCCACCTTGTAGCTGTACGATAGCTCATCTGCTGCTGCACAGTTTGTGTTGGTCATCCTCTAATCCTTCATCAGTGGTCACAGGACGCTGTTGGCTGGATATTTTTGGTTGGTGGACTATTCTCAGTCCAGCAGTGACACTGAGGTGTTTAAAAACTCCAGCAACACTGCTGTGTCTGATCCACTCAGACCAGCGCAACACACACTAACACACCACCACCACGTCAGTGTTACTGCAGTGCTGAGAATGATCCACCACCCAAATAGTACCTGCTTTGTGATGGTCCATGGGGGTCCTGACCACTGAAGAACAGGGTAAAAGGGGGCTAACAAAGTATCAGAGAAACAGATGGACTACAGTCTGTAACTGTAGAACTACAAAGTGCACCTATATAGTAAGTGGAGCTGATAAAATGGACAATGAGTGTAGAAACAAGGAGGTGGTCATAATGTTATGCCTGATCAGTGTATAATGGACCTATAAGGTAGGAGGAGCTGATGTCCATTAAAGGCAGGAGTTTTCCGTTAGTGGTCGTCTCATTTCTCTTAATTTCTGCCCTTTTAGGACCCTGGCTTGTGCAATGAGTGCAATAAAGCCCCCACAAAGTCCAGTGAGAGTCAGCGCCTGAGCATCCAGCGCTGCATCCTGTCTCTTCTGCATGCCTGCCAGTGTCGCAACGCCAACTGTCCCCTGCCGTCCTGTCAGAAAATGAAGCGGGTGGCGCAGCACCTCAAGCATTGCAAGCGCAATACCAGCGGCGGCTGTCCAGTCTGCAGGCAGTTTATAGCTCTCTGTTACTGCCATGCCAAGCACTGCCAGGAGAACATCTGTCTTGTGCCGTTCTGCCTCACGATCAAGCACAAACTCCGTCTTCGGCAGCAGGAGCAAAGAATTCAGCAAGTACAGATGATCCGGCGGCGCATCATGGCTCTGCGGGCCATCGGCCCCAGACGCTCCTCGAAGCCCTCCAGGGCCTGCGGTCCGCACTGAAGTCGTCCATTTCTCCCAAGCAGCGCTGACTCTTCTAGACGCTTTGCATCTCTCTGTCTCGTCCCCAGATTGTCCAGACTTTCACTCTCTGCAGGGACAGTAAACCCCCCCCAATCAGTGTGTTCTCAAAGCAGAGGCAAGGCGGCCATTTCAGCTGATATATCAACACAACATCTCCTTATAGGGAAAAAGGAAGGGCTGTGTGAATAGCGAGCATCCAATCCGAAGCGCCCTCATTTGAATATGCCTCAGAGACTCAGGAATGAAATGCATAAAGGGGGTCATTGGTGGTTGATGGCAAAGCAGATACTCCATTGTTTTCAGTGGAGCAGTGACAGAAAATCCTGCCCTGCTGAGGTCGTTGGAACGTCCACATCAACACTGGTGGTGGGAAAAACCAAATGTTGATTTTTAACGAAAATGTGTACATTTTTCATCAAAACCCATTAGAAACATTTGTGTGTTCAAAACACTTTCAGAATAAACCAGTGTCTTACACTCTCTCTTGCACATGGACAAAAATACCAGTAGTACTATCACCATAGCAACGTTTACATGGCATCTTGCCACCTTCGGCTGCCGAATCTGCTGTGAGGTGCAGAACGACAGCTTTTTACCACCAACACATTTACACACAGCATTAGAGTTAGGCTTTCAGGCCATTAATCTGGTCCAAAAAACCCTACAATAGTCTACAATAATGCTAATTTCTGCTAGCACCCCTATGGGGTTTCTAATAGAATGTTAGTACTAAGTGTTTTAGGTTAAACACAGACATCTGAAGCTTGTAAGAGACATTATAAACATATACTTTACCTTTCAGTGACTCTCAAGACCCAAGAAGCTGCCACGTTTTACATTTCTAACCACTGAAAGCGGATTAGCTCGTGTACACAGTCAGTGACGTATCTAGAACTTTCAGAAGGCCTGGAGCAGGGGTCGGCAACCCAAAGAGCCATTTTGTCTTTTCAACAAAGATCAAACCACCTCGGTGAGCCACAACATAAATGTCCATTTTACCACTTTGGCTGTAAATATGTCTCCGTATGTGCTGATATACTAGTACAGGATAAAAAATACAATATACTGAATATCCAGACACAGCTATAGCTGCTTTTCTCGCATCTCCAGCAGGAAACTTTTCTGCAAAAGCTCTCAACATTCGACTTTTTACCAGGCTAAACTCGCTTCTCATTCACCAGCTTCTTGTTCAGATTTTCCCGTTCCACCTTAAATTGTGCCTGAAGCTCCAGAATGTACCTGCTGCACCATTTAAGGTGGAACGGGACAATTCAAACTAGAAGCTCGTTCTCGGTGCAGATTAAACGTATCAGGAAACCAGCTGGAGTGATTATAAATGCAAGTAAGTCCATTCGTCTCCAAATTAGCGATGTTCGTCTTAAATCTTTGTCTTTGCCGTTTCGTTAGCTGCTAGGCGAGACTGTCTGTGTTGCTATGGTGACCAGAAGTCTGCACACTAACCTTCAGGGTTAAAGGGTGAATTAGCAGTTCTACATTAGTTTAAGACCATTTATTGTTAAACTGTGTTGAACGATCAGCAGAGCTTTATTTTACTGTAAAGGAGGATTATTTTATTTTTACCTACTAATTCTGATGTGGAGCCGCAACAGGGCAGTAAAAGAGCCGCATGTTGCCGACCCCTGGACTAGAGTGACGTTTTCCTCACAAAATTAAAAATAAAAACATTAGTTAATTCTGCTTTCACTTCCTAATTTTGTGGGTGGTTAATATAACGTGCAAGGCCTTCAGTCCAGCTTCTGAAGTCCTGACCAATGGGAGAGCTCGCTTGGCTGTGTCTGCCTAGATACCATGGAGGAAAAAATTCCTGATTGGACAGTTTTCCGGTTTTTAGAGTTAGATTTAGTTTCCAATCAAAACGTAAAAATGAAATAAAGGCATTAATTAAATACTTAGTTTAAGTACAACAAGCATGATGATTATTTTTAATAACATGAACTAAAAAATGCTTTCTTTTGTAAATATTCTTTAAAAGAGATGAATTTATTAAGTTTTAAACTATATGGGCAAGCTTCTGTACATCCTCGTTAATAGATTAGCCAACTACTGAGCTATTATTCGTATCCTATAAACACATGTGTGTCTCAGACTTAGAGCTGAGTGGTGCTCCTGGGCAGTTGATCTGGCCTCTCTCTTTTCTCACTTCCTCATAGGATCCGTTATGCACTTTAGAAACTGTTAATCAGTGCCGTCTACTGTCTGCACATTTTGTAAAATGCTCTGGATGAGACATGGATCATTATCAATCTATATTGATTAAGAGAACTTAGAGAATTTATGAACACCAAGTATGGGATAGGGGGATGTTTCAATCTTATACTGTATTTATTATATAACTTAGGGTACTGTATTTTTTGAAACACTGGATATGATTTCTTGGTTAATCATTATAACCTAAAACTACAATTTATGATATGTGTCATGTTTTGTAGCGTTTATAATGGAGTAATATATCTCTCAGCCTCAGTGTTTATCATGCGCTACCTTCTGTTGCTGCTGTAGCGCTCAAATTTGAACAATAAAGTACATTTATCTGATTTATCTTTTGTTTTATTACACTGTTTATGTGGATTTGTGTACCAAAAATACACATATCTCATTTTTGCATGACCATTTTCGACCCTCTGTTTTCCTTTAGAATTAAACAGGGCATTTGTCGTTACTGTGCCTTTAAGACTGATAAATGTAAAATGGTGTAGTGTCTAGGCCACATGAGTCAGGCTCCAGTCCTCGTGGGACAAAACACTGAAGACTTCAGCAGCACACTGCCACACCTGATTCAGCTCATCAGCTAATTAGCAAGGCCTTAATCAACTGAACTCAGAGCATCAGATGAGGACAAACACTAATATAAAGCAGCACTTTGGCCTGGAAGGTCACCAGTTTGACATTCCAGGTCTTAGGTCTTCCAACCCTGACCTTGAATCCATCTTCCGGTCCTGGATTTTGTTATCACTTGTAGTAAATTAACTGTTAATTTAACTGATATATAACTGGCCACCTAGTGTCATACCTACCAGTCATCACAGAATCCAGGCCAGACACTGAATTCAATGTATTTCTACAATGTATATCAGAATATATTTTAAAATGCATTTATTTACTCTGAAAATGCAGTTATGATATATTTGGAAAGTACATTTAAAAAACATTTAACACAAATATTTTTGACCGTTTTCATACATTATTAAAATATAAATATATTTGGAAAGTACATTAAAAAAAATATTTAACAAAAATATTTTTGACCATTTTCATACATTATTAAAATATATTTAATGTATTTGGAAAGTATATTTTAAAAACATTTAAAAAATATATTTAAAACATTTTTGACCGTTTTCATACATTATTAAAATATATTTAATAAATATATTTGGAAAGCACATTAAAAAATATTAAAAATATTAAAAATATTTTTTAAGAAAAATATTTTTTGCCCTATTTTAATACATTATTAAAATATATTTAATAAATATATTTGGAAAGCACATTGAAATTTTTTTAAATACATTTAACAAATATTTTTTGACCATTTTCATACATCATTAAAATATATTCGATAAATATATTTAGAAAATACATTTAAAATATTTTTAAAATATATTTAAAACATATATTTTTGCCATTTTTTATACATAAAAGTACATTTGGAATGTATGTTTACCGTATGGGTTGTTCTCACTGCGCATGCGCGGGACGTGGCGTTTTGTTCTAAGGCTGTCCGTTTCTCGGTGTGTCGATATTCGCCCTGAAGTCCAGATTTAGGTCACGGCTCTGTGGTTTGTCCGGTGTTTTTATATGAACTACTGAGGCTCCAGAATGGATCCTAACACGGTAAGACAGACCGATTTCACCGGATTCGCTCTTCAGACCGACATGTGGATCTGACGATGAGCTGTGCTGCTTTAGTAAAGTTGACTTCATCACACCAGACTGTGGAAAGTGTCCTACTGCACTTTTATAACCTTTAAACTTTAATTTAATGGTCCAGTTTAACTCAGTAGACCAGTCGACAAAGACTAGGCTAAGGTTGGCTCCCTATTCGCGAACTTCATGTTCGAATTTTTCCGGTCCACCTTAAATGGGATTGCGGCGGCGCAGCAGTTACATTCGCCCAACGCGCCGGCATGTAGCTGCTGCACCATTTAAGGTGGAACGGGGAATTCGAACATGAAGCTGGCGGACAGGAAGCCAACTGTTTTGCTTTCGCTTTTCTTCAGGCTGAAAGGGACTTTCTGAGAAATGTGTGAATCACCACTGTCATTTTTTCCGTCCTCCTTCACAGTTTCATACGGATTCCTGTCTTATTCTGGTTGGTAGTACTGAACAGGTGAACGTACATATTACTTATGTACACACACACCGATCAGGCCTAACATTGTCCATTTTATCAGCTCCACTTACTATATAGGTGCACTTTGTAGTTCTACAGTTACAGACTGTAGTCCATCTGTTTCTCTGATACTTTGTTACCCTGTTCTTCAGTGGTCAGGACCCCCATGGACCCTCACAGAGCAGGTACTATTTGGGTGGTGGATCATTCTCAGCACTGCAGTAACACTGACGTGGTGGTGGTATGTTAGTGTGTGTTGCGCTGGTCTGAGTGGATCAGACACAGCAGTGCTGCTAGAGTTTTGAACACCTTAGTGTCACTGCTGGACTGAGAATAGTCCACCAACCAAAAATATCCAGCCAACAGCGTCCTGTGGGCAGCGTCCCTGTGACCACTGATGAAGGACTAGAGGATGACCAACACAAACTGTGCTGCAGCAGATGAGCTATCGTCTCTGACTTTACATCTACAAGGTGGACTGACAAGGTAGGGGTGTCTAATAGAGTGGTCAGTGAGTGGACACAGTGTTTAAAAACTCCAGCAGCACTGCTGTGTCTGATCCACTCAGACCAGCGCAACACACACTAACACACCACCACCACGTCAGTGTTACTGCAGTGCTGAGAATGATCCACCACCCAAATAGTATGCTCTGTGAGGGTCCATGGGGGTCCTGACCACTGAAGAACAGGGTAAAAGGGGGCTAACAAAGTATCAGAGAAACAGATGGACTACAGTCTGTAACTGTAGAACTACAAAGTGCACCTATATAGTAAGTGGAGCTGATAAAATGGACAATGAGCGTAGAAACAAGGAGGTGGTCATAATGTTAGGCCTGATCGGTGTAAGCATCAGATATTGGACATATATGTCTGATACATGCATCCTGTACATTTAGAACTGTCACTATGTTATTTGTTAAGTATTTAATATTCGAATGTTTCAGGAAACAATATTTTCATTTATGTCATGTTTTAATGATATAATTGCACAGCTTACAATGTGCATATATTAGAGTGTTATTATGTAGCTATTAAACTAATTTTCCTCTTAATTAGGAGGTAAGAAGATGCATAAAAACCTTATATTCTATAACATGAAGCCAACATATATGAGTAATATATGGCACCCATATCTGAATGCATTTGTCATATATTGTTAAATATATGTTACACGTATATGTTTTGTGTATGTTGAAATATGGCTAAATTTCAAATAAGTTGGCATATTTGTAACACAAGTCAATATGTGACAAGTATAATTTGGATATAAGGGAAATCCCTATATGCAAAGATGTTTATTTCAAATCTAGATATTGCCATATATCAGATTTCCATATTGATCACTTATGATTAGATGTCATGTCTCAATTCAGTGTACTTGAAATTTGAACGAATGCTATCAAAATGAACCGTATCTTATTTGTGACATTTGTAGGCAGAAATACATTTTTGGGTGGGCCTGTGGAAAAGTATATGCTATATACTGCAAAGTCGTAACATCAGACCATGTCATTATACTTTTTCCAAAGCTTCTGTCGGGATACAAAACATTGGCAAGACTTTGTCAGCTGACATCAATCAGAATGCTGGATAGACATAAACCCAACCAACACTTCCCCTCATTGACCAGCAGCAACCTTCAGTATAAAACATGCGTCTGCTCACCATGGGAACAACTTCGGGTTAATGAAGACAGCACAAATAATTCGTTAAACTCAACCAGCAGAGGAAAAACAGCACAGCACACTTAAAACCTTAATCTAATCATCCTCGGCTAAAGCATACTGCCTCGGCAAGCGTGAAAAATGTTTAGGACTATATTTTAATTTATTTTTGGTTTTAGAAATGGGTAGAAAATTACATACTGTACTCTATCAAAGACGGGATCTCACTTTTTACACTTCAAATCAATCTGTAACTATGGGTAAAAATTTTAGTCACGTTCATTTTGCAGAAATGTGACTTACATAATGTAGTGAGTCAACTAACTGCTTAACCTCTTCAACTCCTTGAGACCACCGGTGGTTCCAAAACGCACTTCGTCATATTCTTCATAACTGTCATATTTCATAAGCCACATTCAAAAGGTGGGGGTCATATGAGCTGTAACTGTCTTCTTTCCAGTCAAATAGATGTAGTTTTAAAATTTTATAATGAAAGAAGCTGAACTCACAATTTTTTTTGTCTACTGAAAGTCGACCCATTTTTCCACAAATCTGGGCTATAAACTGTAAACAGATGGCGTCTCTTCAGTGATCTGCTCTGTAAAAATTATTTTTATAAAATAATACGAAGAGCGTTTAAGATTTTTGGCTTTCAGCAGTAAATTGTAAGCATATAGCAATATGTGTGATCATAAAATACATCTTCTGTTAATTTGAGGGGAACTTTTACAATAAATAAATAAAAATTTACATTTATTTCATGCAGTTACTGAATAATTTGCTTTACGATTTGGTCATGAAAATTCAGATGGACAAACCAAAATATACCCTGGAGAATAAGAGGTTAATATGTGTGTTAGACCAACTGTCAATTTCTGAGATTACAGCTGAAAATATGCACGGTCTACGGCCAAACCACAGCTGTTCTGAGGTCAGCTGAGAGCCAGTCACTGCTTGTTTGTGTAGTCTCGCTGTTTCCACAATTGAGGTAGTAATGCTGGTAACAAACTGAATGGTGGATAGCAATGGTTGCTTAGCAGTAATTGTGGAAGATAAGGCGGAGAGCATAATGATTTTGTTTGGCGTAATACAGTGACAGCACTCAAAGAAAAAAAAAGTGAGGCTTAATAAATATTATCTTCATTTGATTGGGTAGGCCTGTGATCAACCCGTGGCTACACCCCTCATATGAGCCTATGTCTATACTCGTTTATTGCTGTTTGCTGTCCCTGTGGTTAAAATTACTAAACGTTATAGTCTGAAAACATTTAATTCAAAAAATCATATAATTAAAAAAAAAAAGGTTCCTTTTTGAAAATTGAACGGGGAAGTTTCAGAAATACATTCAGGATATACAGTAAATATATATATATATATATATATATATAGCTATATATACACACACACACACACAACCCCATTTCCAAAAAAGTTGGGACGGTGGCATGTTTACCACTGTTTTATCACCTCGTCCTTTAACAACACTCTAAGCGTTTGAGAACTGAGGAGGATCCATGTTTTCCTGTTCTTGTTTGATATAGGATTTCAGCTGCTCAACAGTTCGGGGGCTCATTTGTCGTATTTTTCATTTCATAACCCTCCAAATGTTTTTAGTGGGTGACAGATCTTTCAGTTTAGCATCATTTTAATACGGAGCAATGCTGCTGTAATACATGCAGAATGTGGTTTGTCATTGTCTTGCTGAAATAATCAAGGCCTTCCCTGAAAAAGACGTCGTCTGGATGGCAGCATATGTTGTCAAAACATGTATATATCGTTCAGCATTAATGGTGCCTTCACAGATGTGCACGTCACCCATGCCATGTGCACTAATGCACCTCTATACCATCATGAATACTGGCTTTTGAACTGTGCACTGATAACAAGCTGAGTGGTCTTTAGCCCGGAGGACACAGTGTCCATGATTTCCAAAAAGAATTTCGAATGTTGATTCGTCAGACCACAGGACACTTTTCCACTTCACCTCAGTCCATTTTAAATGAGCTTGGGCCCAGAGAAGGTGGCAGCATTTCTAGATCCTGTTTAATCAACCAGCAGGTGTTTTTAGCGTTACACAACTTTGCCTTTTGTTGCCCCCGTCCCAACTTTTTTGGAACATGTTGTTGGCATCAAATTCAAAATGGGTATATATTTAAAAAAAAACAAAATTTCTCAGATTCAACATTTGATATGTTGTCTTTGAAGCATTTCCAATAAAAATATAGGGTTTAACTGATTTGCACAACATTGCACTTTTTATTTATTTTGCACAGCATCCCAACTTTTTTGGAAACGGGTTGTGTATGTGTGTGTATATATGTATATATATATATATATATATATATCCTCTAGCTCTGACCACTGAGCCAACCTAGCGGTGATGTCACTGTTCCTACACTCATACCAGCACCCCCCACACTACCATGTCAGTGTCACTGCTGTGCTGCGAATGATCCACCACCCAAATAATATGTGGACAACGGTGGTCCAGAAACTTACCAATGATGAATGTGGTAGAGAGGATCTGGTAAATTTTGCAGAAACAGACGGGCCACAGTCTGTAATTATACACCTAAATAGTGGAACTATAAGGTAGGTGTGCTACTAAAGTGCCCAGCCAATGAACCTACAAGATAGGTGTTTCTAATAAAGTGGACAGTGAGTGTGACAGGCGCTATTATAGCAGTAGTTTTTAACACAACACATTACCTTTTCATGCACCAGGAAAGTGTAAAAATAGAGGCCATGTACATTAATGAGTTTGTCTGTTATGAATTCCATGAATGTGGTCATCTCAACTCTCTTAAACTCTGCTCTTTTAGGACTCTGGGTTGGGCTCCACAAAGTCCAGTGACAACAGTCAGAGCGGAGAAGCCTCTAAGAGCCCACAGGAGAGTCGGCGCCTCAGTATCCAGCGCTGCATTCAGTCTCTGGTGCATGCCTGCCAGTGTCGCAACGCCAACTGTTCCCTGCCGTCCTGCCAGAAGATGAAGCGGGTTGTGCAGCACACTAAAGGCTGCAAGCGCAAGACCAATGGCGGCTGTCCCGTCTGCAAACAGCTTATTGCTCTTTGCTGCTATCATGCCAAGCACTGCCAGGAGAACAAGTGCCCTGTGCCGTTCTGCCTCAACATCAAGCACAAACTCCGTCAGCAGCAGCTGCAGCACAGGCTTCAGGAAGCTCGGATGATGCGGCGGCGCCTAATGTTTCAGCGGGCCATCGGCTCCAGACGCTCCTCGAAGCCCTACCGGGCCTGCGGTCCGCACTGAAGTCGTCTTTTTCTCCTGAGCAGCGTAGAATCTACTGGTAGCCTTTGTATCTCTCTGCTCCTTGCCTCTAGATTACCAGCGCTGTAATCTGACACCAGTGGTTTCCTTAATTATTTGCAATATTTATGAATTACTCTTTACTTTGACTCTGCAGGGACTGCAAACTTTAAACTCTTCCCATTAACGCTTTCTCAAACCATCCGCTTATAGGAAGAACAGAAATGCTGTTGACTAATCCACAATTAGGCTAAAAGCATCATCAGCTGTTTCACACGATGCTAGCATCTAAACTTGTGAGAATAGCAGGGCGTCCAATAAGAAGTGCCCTCATTTGAATATGCCTCAGGGACTCATAGGACAGGATGAGTAAAGGGACTCAGTATTGGTAGATGCATGATGGCAAACCAGATATTCTAACACAGCACACTGAGGACTTTTAGGATAAAATAGTTGCTAACACTGTGGTCCCATACTTGGGCAGAAATGCCAGTAATGCTATCACCATAGCAACCTTTGCATGGCTTCAGCGGAAGTTTATCACCACCAACATACTGCTGTTGTTGCGAGAAAACCTTGTATCTCTATTTTTGTCAGTTTTCAGTTTTTGACATAGTTTGGACTAAAAGAAACGGCCCAAAATGACTTGGAAAAAACTCTGGTTCCATTGACTTACATGAAAAGTAAAGTAGGTTTTTTCCTTCTCCTGTAAAGTTACAGTTTTGGAGATACAAGGTTTTCCGACAACAGCGATATATACACACAGCATGAGAGTTAGGCTTTCAGGCCATTAATCTGGTCAAAAAATCCTACAATTGTCTGCAGTAATGCTAATTTCTGATAGCACCCCTATGGGATTTCTAATAGAATGTTAGCACTAAGCATTTTAGGTTAAACACAGACATTAACATATACTTATTTGTCCAGTGACTCTCAGTGAACCAAGAAGCGGCCATGTTTTGCTTTTCTTACAACTGAAAGCATATTAGCTCATATACACAGTGACGTACCTAGAACCTCCGGAAGGTCTAGATCAGGGGTGTCAAACTCAACCACTGAATTTAATTTTTACTTAACATTGTGCCGTGACCCAAACGGGCCATTGTTTATCCAAAATAAGCCAAAACTGCAACTAAAAGATAGGCACTGAATACTTATTCAAAAATAAAAATAAACTGTTTTAGGCAGGTTTTAAAACTGCCTGTTTGCTTGAACTAGACATCAGGCATATTTTCTTTTTGTGTAACTGCTGACCCTTAGATTGTTGTTGGGGGAAGGGGGTCAGAACACACACTATGTTGCAGTGCATACTGGGGACTGTAGTGCATCTCAGGGTGAAACAGGCTGATAAGAATGGAGAATTGAAATAATTTTGCGGGCCAAACAGGACTGTGTCACGGGCCTGACTTGGCTCACGGGCCTGACTTGGCCCACGGGCCTTGTGTTTGACGCATGGAGTGACGTTTTTCTCACAAAGTCAGTGCCACAATTTGTAAATCAAAACATGATTAGTTAATTCTGCTTTCCCTTCCTAATTTTGTGGGTGGTTAATATAACATGCAAGGCCTTCAGTCCAGCTTCTGAAGTCCTGACCAGTGGGAGAGCTCGCTTAGCTGTGTCTGCCTAGATACCAAAGAGGAAAAAACTCCTGATTGGACAAGTGTCCATTTCAAGATTTAGGTTTGGTTTCCAACCAAAACTTAAAAATGAAATAAAGGCATTACTTTAATACTTAGTTTAAATACAACAAGCATGATGATTATTTTAAGTAAAATGAACTGAAAATAACAGACATGCTTTCTTTTGTAACAAAGAGATATTTTTTTAAGTTTTAAACTATTTGGGCCAGCTTCTGCGCCAGAATGTAACTGCTGCACCATTTAAGGTGGAACGGGAAAATTCGAACAAGAATCCGGCGAATATCTGACTTCAGCTTCATATCACTGAAGAATTAGGGGTGGGTGATAATAAATAATCACCCCCTTCTTTGAAGGCATATGATGCCCTAAATGTAACTAAAGCCCAGCAGTGAGGAGCTGAACTTTACCCTACCTTACTTTAGAAATGGGATTGGGCCTTAGTCTGTATTTGTTATATATCTAATGGTACTGTATTTTTGGAACCTTGTGAATTTGATTTCTTGGTTGAGCATTATAATATAAAACTATGAATTATGTTATGTCATGTTATGTACACATACAGGGTTCTACAGTAAACAGAATGGTTCTTTTTCATGCTTAAACAGTTCTTTGCATGGTGAAATGCTTCTTCAGACTGATGGAGAACATGTTTATGGTTCTATATCGCTATATTCTATAAACGCTTTATCTCCATTTTTGTCATTTTTCAGTTTTTGACATAATTTGAAAATAACTGTTGTTCTTTACATTGTATGTAAATGTAAAGAACAATGGACCAAAAGAAACGGCCCAAAATGACTTGGAAAAATGTCTGGTTCCATTGGTGGTATATTGGACCATTTCTCCATGCAAAGAACCATTTAAGCATGAAATGGTTCCATGTAGGACTCATGGTACTAAAGAACCCATGAAGAACCATCTTTTTAAGTGTGTAGCGTTCTATAATGGAGTACTGTATCTCCAAGCCTCTGTATTTATCATGTGCTATGTTCTGCTGCTACTGTAGCGCTCAAATCAATAAAATACGTATATCAAGCTTTGTGGAACGAGGTAACTATTTTCCTTATCAAAGACATGAATCTGGAGTGCAGTGTACCCAGTTGAGGAAAATACGAAGAAGCTAAATGTGTTGTTTCCTTGAAAAAGATATCAGACTATGCGAAAAGTGCTTAGCGACTACGCTAATCGGCGTACACATCCAACCGTAGAGATTTGAAAGCTGAATTACTGGGATACCCACCTTAGCAGATCATAAAGACAACAGTGCTTCCATCTCTATTCAACGCAAAGAGAAAAGACTCGTCATCTAACGAGTCGTTTCTGCTACGAGAGTCGGCGTCAAGTCCGCCACCGAGTATCCACACCAGAAGTCATGGCTGCTGGTGGGAAAAGTATAAACAATGAATGTGATACACTTAAAACCTCCTTTATCAGAACTTAAAGGAATAATTTTGTGAAAAATCAATTTACGCTACGTTTTAGAGTCCAAATTCTCCTTTAGTTCAGCATGCTGTAACTGCACGGCTAATGTTGCTAACAAATAGTAGAAGTCAATATTCATCCAGGTCTTTTCTGTAAATACAAACCCAAAACTTCTCTCAAACTGCGTTCAGGTCACTTGTTGATGTGGTTTAGTACACGGTTTGCTATAAAAATGAACAAAACTTCACACCGGGGCAGCCAGGAAAACATTTGGGTGACTACTGACTTGTACTGTTTGTTAGCAATGTTAGCATCATAGCTCTGGCACCACATTAAAGACACAAACAATTAGACGCCTGATGTGTCTTAGCTGATCAACTGCATCTTAGGAAACTGAATAAGTTAGATTTTGCCTAAATAGATAACAGTGTGTCATACAGTTTCAGAAAACATAAACGAGTCTATTTGAGATTATGTACAGTATACAATAATACAAGTATAAAATATATATATATATATATATATATATATATATATATATATATATATATATATATATATATAATCCTTATTTATTTGTATTTAATTTTTCTTCAGGTCCACTTATGTTTACTGAATGCATATAAAGGTGTTGCCTTATTTCCATTTTATTGTAGGAACATAATTAATTCAATTTACTACAATGAATGCAGTTTCATATACACGAGTGTTGATGTTCTGCAACAGGACAGACACTTCTACTCTACATTAGCTCCAGACATTTCAGAAAATTGTGTCCTCAAAATAATTTGCAAAGGAAACTTATTTTTCCAGATGGTTACAACCCCAATTCCAAAAAAGTTGGGATGCTGTGTAAAATGTAAATAAATGTAAATAGAAACAGAATGCAATGATTTGTAAATCTCATAGACTCATATTTTATTTGCAATAGAACATAAAACACATATCAGATGTTGAAAGTGAGACGTTTTACCATTTCATGAAAAATATTAACTCATTTAGAACTTGATGGCAGCAACGCATCCCTAAAAAGTTGGGACAGGGCCGTGTCTACCATTGTGTAGCATCCCCTCTTCTTTTAACAACAGTCTGTAATTGTCTGGGAAGTGAGGAAACCAACTGCTGGAGTTTTGGGAGAGGAATGTTGTCCCATTCTTGTCTGATGTAGGATTCTACCAGCTCAGCAGTTCCTGGGTCTTCTTTGCCGGATTTTTCGTTTCATGATGCGCCAACTGTTTTCTATTGGTGAAATGTCTGGACTGCAGACAGGCCAGTTCAGCACCCAGACTCTTCCTCTGTGAAGCAATGCTATTGTGATGGATGCAGTTTGTGGTTTAGCATTGTCTTGCTGAAATATGCAAAGCCTTCCCTGAAAGAGAGGCTGTCTGGATGGGAGCATATGTTGTTCTAAAATCTCTATATACTGTTCAGCACTGATAGTGCCTGTCCAGATGTGTAAGCTGCCCACACCATAGGCACTAATGCAGCCCCAGACCATCAGAGACGCAGGCTTTTGAACTGTGCGCTGATAACAAGCTGGATGGTCCCTCTCCTCTTGAGTCCGCTGGACACAGCATCTGTGGTTTCCAAAAAGAATTTCAAATTTTGATTCATCTGATGTCAGAACAGTTTTCCATTTTGCCTCAGTCCATTTTAAATGAGCTTTGGCTCAGAGAAGATGGCGGCGTTTCTGGATTGTGTTGACATATGACTTCTTCTTTGCATGATAGAGTTTTAGCTTGCATTTGTGAATTGCACGGCGAACTGTTCACAGACAGTGATTTCTGGAAGTGTTTCTGAGCCCATGCCGTGATTTCCAGTACAGAATCAGGCCTGTTTTTAATGCAGTGCCACCTGAGGGCATGAAGATCACGAGCATCCAATATTGACCATCGGCTTTGTCCCTTGCATACAGGGATTTCTCCAGATTCTCTGAATCTTTTGATGATGTTATGTACTGTAGATGGTGGGATATCCAAGGTTTTCACAATTTTACAGTGAGGAACATTTTTCTGAAATTGTTTCACAATTTAGACACAGTTTTCACAGATTGGTGAACCTCTGCCTCTCTAAAATGATCTTTTATAGCCAGTCATGTGAGTTAGTTGCAAATTGCTCCTCTTGCTGTTTTTTATTAGTACCACTTACTGCTCCAGCCTTTTGTTGCCCCTGTCCCAACTTTTTTGAGATGCGTTGCTGCCATCAAGTTCTAAATGAGTTAATGTTTTTCATGAAATGGTATATTTCAACATCTGAAATGTGTTCTATGTTCTATTGTGAATAAAATATGGGTCTATGAGATTTACAAATCATTGCATTCTGTTTTTATTTACATTTATTTACATTTTACACAGCAGTGGATTTTACCATCATCAACATCACATATAAAGACTCAGAGGACACGTGTGGGTTCACTGGTGGTTTTGGATAGTAAAACAAATGGCTGTATTTGTGTTGTAGACATTTTGGTTCCCATCACCACCACTATAAAGCAACCTGAGTCTCTACAACGAACCATTTCAGGACCAAAACACTCTGAACGACTTTGTTCACATCTCGACCACTGAATTCATAACATCATAACTGCAGATTCGGAGCAAAAAAAAACAACAAAAAACAACAACAAAAGAATAAAAATGTGAATCAGGAAAAAGTACACAGCTGCGCACATGTACTACAAATCCCACAAGCCATCGCGACGCCGCTAGTGCGCAAATACGTCACAGCACGTAGAAGAGGCGGTTGAGGGGAGGAATTTTGAACGTCGGCTAGCCGGCTAGCTCAACTACACCGCTTTATACGTTAATGAAACGTTTTTAGAGAAAAAAGAACAAATATTTCAGTGTAATTCTGTTAATTCGCGTTGTTGTTCGTCGGTAATGCCTTAAGTGTAAACAAATATGAACGTTTAGCGAGGGCTAATGCGGTAAGCTAGCAGCGCGGCTGCATTGTTGATCAGAGTCCTGCCTGTCAGTTTGGCTGCTGCTTGACAGCTAGACGGATGTGGGTTTTAAACGGGCTGTGAAACAAAAACAGCTTCGTGAAGCTGAAAGGTTTACGCAGCATTTACACCCTGAAGGGCTCGGGCTGGTGACCATGCTGACCTGACCTGACCTGACCCAGCTGGAGTCCTTTTAGTGGGCTGCTGTTGTTGTTTTGAGATGCTGCCGTGCTGTCCGTGCCATGGACGACTCGGACCAGGACTTCTCGGATCTCTGCTCCCGGCTCCTCAAGAGGGTCAAACGGAAAGACTCGGGGGATGAGAAGAAAAGCACGGCAGTGAAAGATGAAGAAGGATCGGGCTCCTCTCAGAGCAAAGCGCCAGCCAAGCGGAGAAAGAAGAACGGGCAGCTCCGGATCGAGGCGGCGGCGGTAACGGGTAGGGGGCAGCTCCGGATCGAGGCGGCCTTCACGGGTAGGAGCCAGCCTGGCTGCCCCGCCTCATCCCCTGGAGCCTCATCCCCTGGAGCCTCATCCCCTCTGAGCGTGAAGGAGAAGGTGCTGCGGAGGATGGAGCGCTTCAGGAGGGCGAGTCCTCCTCGGCTCCTGCATGTGGAGAAAGGAGAAACCCAAGGCAGCCGATGTGACCCAGCACCACTTCCCTCACAAGGTGATGAAGACATAAAAAGGTCATAACTTCCTAATGCTGCTTGTTTATTCTATAGGGGTGTAACGATACACCTGTTTAGGGTCGGTTCGATTTTTAATTCTGATGTCAAGTTGGGCTGGGCAATGACGATATTTTATCCTTATCGTGATAAATAATGTCACAGGATGCTTTTCTGAGCATATCATGGGTGGTACTACATGTGTTCTTACAGAGAGAGCAAAATTAGGCCTATTTAATATGATTTAGTGCAGTGCAGTTGGTAAAACATTGAATAAAAATCATTGTAGTTTGTGTTATATCATTATTATGTTATTATTATTATTATATTTTTATATGTGCCACTACAGGTTCTGTTTTATCTGATCCAACTTATTAAATCTCAGAAAAGCTAGATATCATGAAAATGTCTTGTAAGTATTGTGATTATTTTTGATATACAGCATGTAAACAAAATGAGCCTGTATAAAACCGTAATCTAATGCAACAGTCCAGTCTAACTGTGTAACTGTAAACAATGCAGACACCTGAACGATCATAGGATGTCTCAATTTCCAAGCCCCCCCAGTGTAGACATTAAATATATTTACATTGAATAAAAGCTTTAGAAATACCCAAGTTGCTATTTCAATTGTTGAAAAACCACATGTTTGATTTAATTGATCGATGCATTGATTGGCTGTGTCGAGTTGATCATTGACTGTGAGTGAGGGGCATTTCTATACACCTTTTATTTTTCTGATATAGTATCCACTTTTGAAATATGAAGCATTATACACAACATAGTTTCGCTGACTGAGCAGAACATCAGTGTGAAATCAGTGTTTCTCATTTCTGAGTGGCGGTTTCTAAAAATAGAGCAAGAGATCAATATTTTACCATTACTACACCATAGAAATACCACTGGAATAGGCCTTAAGCTATTGTACTACCCAGCAAGTATCTATATGTGTGGTTCATACTGACCAGAACATCTCAGGAAACTAAATTACAGACTTAAGAACAGGAGAGTTTAATCTAGAGCAGGGGTGCCCACACTTTTTTTCTCTTTGGGCGGTGGGGGGGCGATATTTGTGCTTGATTAAGGGCCGCAAAGACAAAACGGTATAAATAAAAAGGTAGGTAGACTTTTTAAAGATGCATTTAATTTTATTTGCTTGTATTTTGCTATTAAAATACCTCAAATTTACACATTTAAAAGGAAAATAAGAATTTAATAAGTTATATATAGTGTGAGTTGGTGGGTTAAGGATAACTTGGCAGGCCAAATCAAATATCCTCACTGGCCTGCTTTATTCTCAGGGCCACACTTTGGGCAGCCCTGCTCCTTTCTTCCAAGCAACCAAAGAGAATTCTAAAGCTGAAGATGTTGTGATTTCTTTTTGAATTCCGTCTATTTCAGAGCCTGTGGAAGAACCTGAAAGCGATGAGACTCTTGCTTTGAGGCTCCAGCAGCAGCTGGACAGAGAGGCTGAGACTCAGGCTGTGGTGGACTTGGAAGATGGAGGCCTGTTCTTTTGCCAGCTCTGCCACAAAGACCTGTCAGCCATGAGCCCGCAGCTACGGACCCAGCACATCAACAGGTGCAACAGCCAGCTGTCACTAACAACACAAACCTACCTATATCTAGCTATTGCTAACAGATAAGGTACCACAGCCAGGTACTGTTAACAACAGTGACACACTGTAACTGATATCTAACCTGACTAGGTCTGACAATCAACACTGTATATCAACACATGTAGCCACCAGGTGTCGGTCACTGACAGACTTAACCATGGCTGCTTTCACATTACAGGGTTAGTTGCACAGTACTGTGTGTGATACATACTGGCCACTTCATTAAGCCCACCTCCTTGTTTCTACACTCATTGTCCATTTTATCAGCTCAGTTTACCATATAGGAGCACCTTGTAGTTCTACAATTACAGACTGTGGTCCATCTGTTTCTCTGCATACTTCGTTACCCTGTTCTTCAATGGTCAGGACCCCCACAGGACCACCACAGAGCAGGTGGATCATTCTCAGCACTGCAGTAACACTGATGTGGTGGTGGTGTGTTAGTGTGTGTTGCGCTGGTCTGAGTGAATCAGACATAGTAGTGCTGCTGGAGTTTTTAAACACCTCAGTGTCACTGCTGGACTGAGAACCAAATATATCCAGTCCTGTGACCACTGATGAAGGACTAGAGGATGACCAACACAAACTGTGCAGCAGCAGATGAGCTATCGTCTCTGACTTTACATCTACAAGGTGGACTGACAAGGTAGGAGTGTCTAATAGAGTGGACAGTGAGTGGACACAGTGTTTAAAAACTCCAGCAACACTGCTGTGTCTGATCCACTCAGACCAGCACAACACACACTAACACACCACCACGTCAGTGTTACTGCAGTGCTGAGAATGATCCACCACCCAAATAGTACCTGCTCTGTGAGGGTCCATGGGGGTGCTGACCACTGAAGAACAGGGTAAAAGGGGGCTAACAAAGTATGCAGAGAAACAGATGGACTACAGTCTGTAACTGTAGAACTACAAAGTGCACCTATATAGTAAGTGGAGCTGATAAAATGGACAAAAGCTTTTTTTTTATTTCTCTTTATTTAAAGAATGAATTAATAAAGACATTTGCAGACTTTCAATGCATTTTCAAATTAGGGGAAAAAGTGGAGTCCTGCATGAATATGTGATGCGACTGTCAGACCAGAGTCCTTTTTTTTCCTTTCACCACACTTCACTGCTCATGCACACATAACTGTTGCCTTTCTTTGTCACCATATCCTGTTGGTAGCGGCTACCCTAAAGTAATGCGTGCTCACTGACAGATACGGGTCACTAATAAACACAAATGTGAACATTCAAAGCAGAAAGAATGTACTCAAGCAAAAAATCTCAGTTGATTTGCTGAAAAGAGTCTACAAGGTTTGGTATGCTGAGACCTGTTCTCACACTGGACTGGACCCACCAAAACATATGAAGTGAAACTGAAATGTCTGTTGTGGGTCATTCTACAGACACGTCCACTTATCTATCTCTCCATAGGAGTCACTGGTGTTACTGATCCTCATTGGTGTTACACATAATAAAGGAACACCAGAGACATTTTTAATGAACAAATGCATTTTACAAAATAACTGCTACAGAGCATCAAACCACATGTTGTCAATCATGGATTATCCACTAAAATATGTAATTTAATCCATTTGTGTTCTATTTTTTCACAATTACCTCAGAATAAAGTCGGTCACACCAGTGACTTCAGCTAAAAGCTTCATATGAAATCATGAGCTAAATGAGAAAATCTCTGATAACTGAAAGACACAGTGGACTCACCATGTGCTTTTCTTCACAGATCCTCAGAAAACAGGTAAAAGGAAGTCGAGTGATGTCATCAGTGTGATTTTTATTTCAAAATAAGAGATTTTTTGTTAACACCAGTGACACGACTCCTGGTGACAAGAGCTTTCATTATATATTTTATAATATATGTTTGGCATTTGTTTTCTTTATGTCATTTAATTGATATTTCATAGTCATGTATAGATTATTGTAGTTAAAATAGCAGAAAAACATGTTTTTTTTCTTAAAAATATGGCCTCAGCCTTTACGCATGACTGGGGACGAGCTCTTCTGTGGTGTAGATAATTGATTTAAACACCAATATTGCTAAATTGATGATTCAAGAAGGTGAAATTGTTAAAATAACATTGTTTTATTTTAAAATATAAATATATTGTAACCCTAACATGTTGTGTTTTCTAAGTGTAATATATCTGTAAACGCTAGGGACACACAAATGGACGTTTCTATAGAAAGACCCTCATATGATTTGTGCGAACACTGGCCATTCTGAAATGTTCCTGAGACTCTGGTCACAGGCAGTCATTCAGTACGATAAAATACATTTCAAATCATGCGGCCTTAATCATAACTATGCAACCCTAGTTTACACTCTTCCTCATCTGCTTGGCTTCAGGTGTCTGGATGAGAGCGAGAAGAACGCCTCTGCTCCTCCTGCTCCTCCTCCTCCTCCTCCTCCTCCTCCTCCTTCCCGCCCTCGGGTGCCCGAGTGCCCTCTCTGTGGACGTAGCTTTAAGTCTGAAAAGAGCCGTTCGACCCACTTAAAGCGCTGCTCTACCGCCATGGGCGTGTCCCCAGCCGAGCTGCTGCAGGCCCTTCAGAGGCAGGCGGCCCAAAGTTTGAGTGATGCCGCTGCTGACCAACCGTGAGTAGCTCAGTCTAGAACAGAAGCCTTCAGAGCTCTTTGAATCTGCTTTTGGTCCTGGACTGGGTTGCACTGATTTTGCCTAAGTTTATACGTCTGTTTGTGCGTAAAGTATTTGATAAGTACTTAATTAACACTAGTTAATTTAAAACTGTCCTTTTACTAAATTTGGTTGCTCAATAGATTTATCATTACGATGTCTAAATGACAAATAACTGTCCACTGTCATGGAAACACAATTTTTCGGCATGTTAAACGCCTATGGAAAAAAATAAGTATTCATAGTATTCCGATGACATCATGCAGTTGCGCTGCCAACATTTTAGTAGGCAGCTGCACGTTCATTGGGCAGTGCAGTGGTGGTTTGTAATGAGTCAGAGCCAATCTAGCAAAGACAGTAACACATTCTTCTCTTGAATATGCAGTTTATATCTAATTTTGAAAGCATATTCACCAATATATTTAAGTATATTGCTTTGATTTTGTTTGATTTGCTGCTGTAGTGAAAAGAAATGAAAGCTGAAATCAGTACTGCTGTGTCTGATCCACTCGTACCAGCACAACACACATTAACACACCACCACCACGTCAGTGTTACTGCAGTGCTGAGAATGATCCACCACCCAAATAGTACCTGCTCTGTGAGGGTCCATGGGGGACCTGACCACTGAAGAACAGGGTAAAAGGGGGCTAACAAAGTATGCAGAGAAACAGATGGCCTACAGTCTGTAATTGTAGAACTACAAACTGACCTCACTGGCCACCTACTGTTATGCCTACCATAGATCCAGGACTTGAAAATGGATTCAAGGTCTGGATTTGAAGACATCTGGTCTAATGTAAGCATTTTAAAATAAATGCCACAGCATCATCCAGCTGGACCCTCACCTCTTTTTGTACAAACATAGCTTCATGCATTTGATCCCTGACCTCCTTCACTGGTTACTGATACGCGAATATGGAGATGTGTCACTTCGTGGCATTCTGAATATTTAATTCGGTTGATGTTGACATATCAATAATGTTATATTGCACTTGTTTAAGCCTGTAGTTTCCAACAGCTCTGCATTAAGTATTTTGGTGTTTTCTTCACTCTAGCACACTCAGTTTAACTCAAGAATGGTTTGCTAAAGAGCCCGGTTTCCCAAAAGCATCCTACTGTTGAAATCACCTTAATTGGTAGAGTGTTCAGTGTGATGCTTGCTCTGCTGTTGTAAGTTTAAAATGGTTTACAGGGGATGTTCTCTAGTGTAGCTAAGAAGTAATGGAAGCTTAGACCACACCACTTTGAGTTGGTTTGTTATATAATCTCAAGTAGACTTGCTTATGCTGAAAAATATATGTTTTGCCAAACTATTTTAAAATGACTCTCTGCCCCCAGGCATCAGTCAGTGGACAGTAGGGGGACAAATGCATCAGAGTCCAGCATGCCGGTTAAGAAGAAAGCCAGAAGAAAAGGCCCATGCATGGATGAGGACACCATGGTGGCTTTGGCCCTGTCTCGTTCTCTGCTGGAGCAGGAGAAGGAGCGAAAGAGAGAGTTGGAGGAGGAGAGGCAGATACAGGCACAACTGTTGAACCCCCCTGAAGCTACAGCTCCTGTACTACAGTGGAAGCCTGGAGGAGGTAATGTCAAAATGTTGGCATATGCCAGGTGATTAATTAAAACAATTGGCAGGCATGTGGCAAGTGGTAGCCAAAAAAATCACTCTGTTTCTGATCGCTGAGGGAAAAGTCCAACAGAAAGAAACCGAGGAGTGGAAGAGTCTTTCATGTGAAATAACCAACACTGTTCTTTATTTGATTGACCCTAAAAAATAAATAAAGAAGACAATCTATATAAGTAACATTTTATTTACAAGACTATGCAGGTATGTCACTTCCGTACAAATTTTAATAACACTAAAATGATTTAGATACAGGTTTATTCATGTTTTAGACCGTTGCTACCATCGTATTCTTTATGCATGAGTAATGTGTTTTTATTTGGAAATGCTGTATCTGTCCAAGAAGCAAATGTCAGGTAGTTTGCATTAACCGTCTTTCTGTCAACTAGTCTCTGGGGGCCAGATGTGGTCTCATAACAAGAACACATCTGGGGGCAACCTGTTAAACGTTTGATGCTGGATTGCAGCTGCAAACAAGGGTGCACACCCTCTAAAATCTGCCCCCAGATTCCTCTAGTTTGTGCTCTTCTAGGTTCTCGAGTCTAGATGCTTAATTAGAATTTTCTGGGGTCTAACAACTGGCTCGATGCCTGTCGAGCAATGTTGATGAGCGCATCATCGCCCCCTGCGTTAAGCTCCGCCTTCACAAGGCTCTGGATTGGTTTAGAAATTTTACAGTCAGTGTGTTCTCACCTTAATAAGCCTACGTTCCCACCTAAATTTAGCCCAGAATTTTTCATGGTTATCCTCAGACGTTTTCAGTATAAGATCTGTCAACGTACTGCTATCTAGACATACAGGGTGATTCGAAAAAGATTCATCCAAATTCAAAGCGCCGTGTTTTTACAGCCGTGAGGCACCTAGGAAGCAATCACATACCAATTGTAAGAGGGGGTCATAGAGTTTCTGACTGTCAGTGGAAGATGGCTCCCTTCAGTCTGCGAGGAGATGAGACCCCTGAGCAGAAAGCGTTCTGCGTTCTCCACTTCAATAAGAGTGAATCCATCATAACTGTGCACAGTGATTTTAGTGGGCAGTGAAGCTCCAACAGCTCAGAGCGTTCATCGTTGGTTTCACAACACTGGATGATCTCCGAAATCTCACTGAAAGAGCCGTGAGTGCAGCAACACCCGACATGCTCAATCCAGTATGGGATGAATTTGACTATGGTGTTGATGTTGTCCTACAGCTGGAGGAGGTTCATACTGAGCACTTATAAAATTACATATTAAACCTTATGCTCATTTAAACCATTTACACTTCACTGCATTGTTCTGGAATGATTTACAAGTGAAATAAATCATTTTGAAATCAGATGAATCTTTTTGAATCACACTGTACATTAAAAAAATAACAGAGCATCTAACATGCAGCTACAACATGCTGCCATTTAGTGTACATCACAGTTTATATCTGCCATCTTTGTTAGTGACGCAAAGAGCGATATGTGGTGTATGAGGCGATATGAGGCTTTTGGTGTAAGTAGGTCACAGTACAGCCTATCAGATGCTCTTATTTAGAAGTGTGAAAACTGAAAACCGCAGGCTCTGGCAGGGGGGAAAAACAGTAAATCGATTTTATGATTCATTGTGCCTCATAAATTATGACTGACTGGCAAAACTTAGACTGGTTGGTTGTGTGATTATATAGTCTGCCTGCCAGTAGCACACTACAAAACCACAATCACTGGCAGAAGGGGTTAAACCAGGGCTGCCCAAAGTTGGCCCCAGAGGACGTTTGAGTTGGCCCACCAGAAAGTTACCCCCCTCGCCCAGTGTGAGAACATACTTTTATACTGTAATTCCTAGTTAATGTAATTTATTAAATTCTTATTTACTTTTAAAATTTGATTTTTAAAATGTTATATTAACCCTTGTGTGGTGTTGATGTGTTTGTTACCCAGTGGTCTGGTGGACCCATGGCATTGTTTATTTTAAATCAATGCAGCCACAACAATTTATATAAAAATACCAGATGTTTAAAATATCACACATGGCCAGCGTAGAGTTCTCCTTTAGCAGCTGTAGCCAGTCAGCAGCCTGTCCATGTTGTCCACCCTCACACACACACACACACACACTAACAGCAGGTGGATCATTCTCAGCACTGCAGTAACACTGACATGGTGGTGGTGTGTTAGTGTGTGTTGCGCTGGTACGAGTGGATCAGACACAGCAGTGCTGCTGGAGTTTTTAAACACTGTGTCCACTTACTGTCCACTCTATTAGACACTCCTACCTTGTTAGTCCATCTTGTAGATGTAAAGTCAGAGACGATAGCTCATCTGCTGCTGCACAGTTTGTGTTGGTCATCCTCTAGTCTTTCATCAGTGGTCACAGGACGCTGCCCACAGGACGCTGTTGGCTGGATATTTTTGGCTGGTGGACTATTCTCAGTCCAGCAGTGACACTGAGGTGTTTAAAAACTCCAGCAGCACTGCTGTGTCTGATCCACTGAGACCAGCGCAACACACACTAACACACCACCACCACGTCAGTGTTACTGCAGTGCTGAGAATGATCCACCACCCAAATAGTACCTGCTCTGTGAGGGTCCATGGGGGTCCTGACCACTGAAGAACAGGGTAAAAGGGGGCTAACAAAGTATACAGAGAAACAGATGGACTACAGTCTGTAACTGTAGAGCTACAAAGTGCACCTATATAGTAAGTGGAGCTGATAAAATGGACAATGAGCGTAGAAACAAGGAGGTGGTCAGAATGTTATGCCTGATCGGTGTGTGTCAGTTAATTGCCAACAACACAAAGCTTCAGTGAGACGACAGCTCATCCTGGTCCTAGAGAGCCACTGCATGTAATTCAGTTTAGGCTTGTTTTAGGCATCTGTGTCTTGTAAACTGTGCTTGTGTTCATATGAACTGCCAGTTAGTGTGCTTAACTCGGTGTTCTCTCTCAGCTAAAGGTCGGGGCAGGCGGAGAAAAGGTGTGCCTGCTGCCCCACCTCCCCTCCTCCTGGTGCAGGACCCCCAAACAGCGCTGAATCGAATCCAGCAGCGCGTCTCCTCCCTGCTCCTCTGCCCTAGACCCCCAACTCCCCCGACTCCAAAACTGCTCCCCTCTGAACTCCCCATGTGGACACACAGCGCCCCTCTCTGGCTGAAGAGTGCACTGCCTGGAGGAGGACCAGACTCAGTCTCTGAGTTTTACACGCCAGAGCTTGGAGAGTTTATACAGCCGTGGGTCAGAGCAGAGGTGAGAAACTCGTTTGTATAAAAACATTCATTCATTCACAAATCCATGCACCTTAAACGTAACATGCATTATATCAATGCAGTCTAATAAATCAGTATTGGAACTGATCATGGCTTATTACAATGGATAGGTATTGGCCATATTGAATGAATGAATGAATGAATGAACGAATGAACTAACCTTTTTTTTAGCCAACTGTGTCTGAACACATCGGAATTAGACCTCCGCATTTAACCCATCACCACGTACACACTAGTGAACACACACGCTAGGGGGCAGTGAGCACACTTGCCCGGAGCGGTGGGCAGCCCTATCCACGGCGCCCGGGGAGCAGTTGAGGGTTAGGTGCCTTGTTTCAAGGGCACAAGGCTGGTTCCCTAACCTTCAGCCCACGACTGCCCCCCATTGAGCCTGGTCCTTTGTGTAGGATCGTTTAACTCAGTAGTGCTTAATTTCCGCCACTGTTGTGAAGCACATGGAGTTAAACCACATTATCAGGAGTTAACAAGTGGTTTAAATGTCTGTAGTGTGTTTTAAAGTGGTAAATGGAAACGGCCCTACAGCCAACTCTGTTGTTATGCGACACAGACTGCCCGAGACAAGCTTTTTACCCTTTTAGCTAGAGAAAAGGAGAAAAACTAGATAGCCGGGTATCCACTTTGCTTTTGCTTAGCCTTTAGCTGGTTGTCTTCATCTCATCAGTCACTTCTGTCATTCGCATAATCCATTCTCTCATTTGTACTGAGGCTTTAAAGGGGCCCTATTATGGAAAACTGACTAACATAGAGTTTGTCATAATTGTTTACCGTTCATTCCCCAGTCCACACAGTTCATATATTAAGCTGCTTGTTTTGAATGAATTGTTTTTTTGATGTCACAAAAGTCAGCACATTTACATAAATCTGCCTATTCAGTCTACAGCAGTTCAGCCTTCCTTGTTCACTGCTGAAGTTATAAGAAGTGTTACAGCCCTGACTGTGTTTTGAATGAGGCACAGTACAGGACAGCCAGGACAGCACACTAACAAAAACAGGCTGTTTAATTCTGAGCAGTAAAGAAAATAAAGCCTGAAAAATGTAAGATACGGGCCCTTTAAAACCATGGTTATACAGTTGCAGTAGGAGATTCACTTGCCTAGCAGTAACGTTAACTGTCTAGCTTCTTTCTTCAATTTCTAGCTAGTAAAAAAAAACAGCCCACCCAGAATTTTCCTCCCATCTTCAAGAAACACCAAGAAGGGGGTTTTCCAGGTCTTTAAAGCAGAAAATCTCGTTCAAGAGATTGTGAGATCCTACAGCATCACTGTTGGAGTACAGTGCACAATAGTTATATTCTTCTTTTTGGACAGAGCGAACGCTTAAATTAGTCACTTTTCATCAGTTATAGTTAATACTGGTTGTAATGCATAATGCGACGTGCACCGTGCACATAGAAATGAATTGATTTTACTGTGTGCACTGTTGGCCTGTATTAACTACACAAATACAGAATCACATCAAACTTGGTGTTTCTGGAATCCTGGCACCTAAAAAAGACCATATACTATGTTATAATAATGAGAAAGTCTCTCATAATAACGATGTAGTGTCTCATAGTAATGAGATTTTCTCATGACTTAAGATCTCATAATAATGACTTACCATCTCATAATGAATTTTCTCAATTACGAGATGCTAAGTCATTATTATGAAATACAGAGTCATAAGTGTGAAATAGTAAGTCATAACTGAGATCTTAAATTATGACTGTTGGAAAGTTATGAGATACAGAGTCATAATTATGAGATAGCAAGTCATCATCTTGACATAGGAAGCCATAATTATGAGATACTAAGTCAAGATTGTGAGATACTAAGTGATAATTAACCCTCTATTGCATGAATTATTATTTAAACATGATAATGTTTTGATGTGTTTTTGTTATTTAAATTGCTTAAATAATGAAAATATTTGGAAAATAATATATATATTTTTACATATATTTTTAAAAACAATTGTAGTTGGTAAAGTTGGGGGTAGTTGGTAAATTGTTGCCATATGGCAACAATATGCAATCATGGAAAGCACCATAAAATCTAAAAAAAAAAGGAGCAAGAAATATAAAATGCTTTTATTGAAAACAAGACTAAACAAATCCAACTTAGTGAACTGTACGACCCAATATTTACAAATATTTAAAAAATAATAAAATTTCAGTTGGTATTTGGAATGTATGGTGATAACAACATTATAATAAGATTTCTTGAACATTTGATGTCAAAATATTTGTCCTTTCAAAGTAAAAGACCCTTTTACCACAATTAAATAGCAAAACACAGATTTTTTATTTTTATTTTACAGCAAGTCATAATTGAGGTACTGAGTAGTTATGATGTGACAGCTAGTCATAATTATGAGATTGCCTCATGAATATTATATGGCAAGGTATAATTATGAGACACTACATTGTAATTTCACATTATTATGACTCACTTAAATAGCTAAATTTTATCCCTCGGTGGCGTTTCTGTAGTATCAGCATAGGTTCAATATTTAATTACTTGGGAATTTGATTGGCACATCCATTCTTGGCTATAAGTGTAAATAAAACTAATGTTGCTAAAAGTGAATGAAAAGTAGTGGGGACCAGGTAGCATTCCCAAATTTGTATTCCTTTAACCACTTATTTATCATCTCCCCACAGAAAAAGCCGCCTCTTTCCTCAGAAGTCACGCCAGGAAAGCAGCATCCGGCATCAGCTTCAGAAACCGCTGCAGTTCCGGAGCAGTCCAGCTGTGCTCCGGTCTCCCTGGACCCGAGGCAAGCGGATCATGCTGCTACTCCGGCTTGCCTCACCCCAGCCATGAGCACTCCAGGCTCTCAGGCCCTACAGGATTTAGTGGAGCTAGCGGAGGAGGGCATGACTCTCACCCAGTACAGACACACAGGTTAGACTCTTTAGCTCTGAGGCAGATCATAGAGCCGGGGATTTGTGCATACGTAGAGTTTTAAGAATAAACGAGTTTGCAAAGTGCAGTATTTGGTTTGATTGTTTTAGTACAGAGTTTATTTAATCGTGTCTATGAAAAACCCATCTAGGATCAGCTCCGTTCATCCACACAGCAGTGTTCGTAAGCATATCGCTGTTGTCGGAAGAAAACCTCGTGTCTCCAAAATGACAGCTTTACAGGAGAAGGAAAAAACCTACTTTACTTTTAATGTAAGTCAATGGAACCAGACTTTTTTCCATGTCATTTTGGGCCGTTTCTTTTGGTCCATTCATCATGAAATTTACACACAATGGAAAGAGCAACAGGTGTTTTCAAACTATGTCAAAAACTGAAAAACGTCAAAAATGGAGATACGACGTTTTCTTCCGACAGCAGCGATATGTAAGGCATAAACTGATCCTAGATCGGTCACATCTATTGTGACACCATGATATTGTTGCTAAAATTTCTTCTGCTCTTCAGATAAAGAGGCTGCTGTGGCTGAGCTTCCTCTGAGCGGCTTTGTCCCTGAAACAACAAAGGCCGTAAAGCCCCATACAAGCTCGGTAACGCTTTGTCTTCATTACTTTTTGCTAGATCTTTTAAAAGCTTGTAAGAGCTAAAATATGTGTGAATTGGTAAATCAATAGGTCTGCTGTAAGAATGAACTGTCTGAATAAAAGCCATTTTTAGCCATTAGGATGCCGTCAAGTCGCTGTTACATTTTCATCCTGTATACCATGAAAAATGTGGTGTAATGTTAACCTAATAGATTAGGAAAAAAGAGCAGTCCCTCAGCAACCCTGAATACAGCCAGCTGTGCAGAAATGACTTGGAATGTGTTTTATTTTTGTTTGTTGCAGGTTACTGTGTCCAAGCTGTGTTCTGATCTGGCCAGCATGGTTAACAACCCTCAGCTCAGTGATGTACAGCTGCAGGTGGACAGTGGAGACGTCTACTTTGCTCACTCATTCATGCTCTACACACGCTGCCCTCTGCTGGCTAGCATGGTAAATGCACCTATGGTTCTGCCCTGCATATCCTCGATGTGCAGAAAAAACAAGTATCTCTTTTTTTACATGATGAAGGAGCCAATAGAAATAATCCAAAAAGACTTTGCATAACATTTAGTTTATAATTAATTTTAACCATCTTTATATGAACTTCTTGACTTCTCTGTAAAGTTGCTGTGGTGTTTTTTTGTTGTTGTTGTTTTTTTATTTTATTTTAATGGTGGCAGCACATTATTGTAAGGGCAATATTTTTTCCTTGTTTTCATGTCTTTGTATGTGTCAGCTCTGCATGCCAGACTCATCGGCACAGCTTAGGGGACAATATCAGTCTTAATTCTATGAGCTAGCAAGCATTTTCTTAGTTGAATTTCCAAAAATAAATGAGAACATGTTGGCTATCTGTCCAAAGCTGGAGAAAAGTTGTTCAAATTGCACTGCGCGTCAAAGTTTAGCACATGCTTTAGTATAAATTTGCTTAAAATCCTTGAGGTAACCTAAAAGTTTTTAGTTAGGTCATTTTTTATAATGATGGTTATAAAGACATGGTTTCCTCTGTTGTCCAGCACAGCTTACTGCTGTTCAGACAGAGCCAGATACCTGTTCAGGGTTGCTAGATTGGCCAGCACCCCCAGTTTTTTTATTTTAATGCAACTTAGCATTATTAATACAAATAAATAATATTAATAACAATTATTATTTATCAGCAGTGTTTTTCAATATCTTACCGTATTTCAGTCAGGTTACATTAACAAGATAAACAGTAATTTTGCAGTAACAATAATAATACTATACTATAGTATTCAGTACCTTATAGTATTATTACTATAATAGTAAGACTATAAGGTATAATACTATTAAGTATCTTATAGTATTGTTACTATAATAGTAAGACTATAAGGTGAAACATCTTCAACTTTTCTTATTCTGATACAATATTCAAATGAAAAGAATCAATTGGTGCAGTCCTACTGTAGAGTCTACTGTTGGGTTTATTGTGGATGTATTTTCTTAACAGTTGCTCTTCTTTGTGTCTGTGTATGTACACAGGTCCATAATGCAGGTTTTGGGGTGCAGGAAGATGGCATGCCTGCAGCTCAGAGGGTACTGTTGGGTGATGTGCCGGGAGAGGCGGTGTACGCCCTGTTGCAGTACCTGTACACTGCCCTTTGCCCAATCACACGCACCCTCCTGCCCAACATACTCCAGCTAGCCACAAGGTAAGTGTAACATCAGTGACAGAACTGCTACAGCTGCCTTACACTTACAGATGTGTGATGGTCATATCCTTATTTGCTCTGAGAGAATGACTGTTGTAAAAATACTTTAGATACATCAGTGATTCCAACAAAGGGCCACTATGGGTTCAAGTTTTTGTTACAACCAGTGAGCAACAAACCTAATTCACTCAGACATTTAAAAAAAACTTAAATGGCCAGCGATGGGTCCATACCTGTAATATTTGCTCCTGTAACTCAGCTAGTTTGCTTTGTTTTCCATATAGTTACTGAATAGTAAGCCTTACGATTTAATAAGGGATTTTATGGGGTTAAAGGTTTGGGTGGTGGCAGGCATTGCTTGTGTAGGTGAAGTGTGTTCAGTCAGGCAAGTTTCTCTTTGGTAGGAACAAAAATCTTAGGGTTCTTATGGTTCTTCATTAAATCTCAAATGTCTACTCAATTTAAATTGATCATTTTGGCACAATCCAGAATTATTACACTAAATATGCAAATACAACTGGAGGAACTATATATACAACAATGGTATACACAAGGCAAAAGACAACACATCAGGCTTGGTTTTTAAATAGCCTGGGAATTTTATTTTTGGGGGGAAAATAAGTATTTATACCGTATTAAATGTTATTACAATCACAATGTTCCCATCCTATTAACAGCCTTTCATGAAAAATATTTTAATTTGTGATCTTTACACTAGGTTTGAGCTGTCTGAGCTGCAGCAGCAGTGTGAGCAGTACAGTGGGGATCCAGAAGACTCAGATGAAGAGGGATGTTCAGCACAGGAGCCTAATCCTGGGCCCCAGGAGAGCCTGGCTGAGACGCAGTTCCTGGAACTCCTGCGCTCCATGTGGCAGCATGAGGAAAGCGACGGTGAGGACTTCGGAAGGGCAGGAGGAGCCAAAGGAGGGGTGGATGAGGAGGAGGAAGGAGGAGGGAGTGGTGATGGAGAGATGAAAGAAGATAGAGTCGATGAGGAAGAGCTGGATGAGATTTATGAGTTTGCAGCTACACAGAGGAAGATGGAGACGACTAGATCCCCTAATGTAAGCGATGAGGAGGAAGAGGAGGGTGAAGAAGAAGTAAACGAGAGCCCCGGAGCGGGAAAGAGCGACACAGAAAAGCAGAACGTTGAAGCAGGACAAAGGCAAGAGACACATGGAGCCTTTTTTAAGGAGGCCAACACCAGTCGCCATAGTTACAGGCTTGGAGAGGATAAGGATGCAGCTGCCATGGTAACCAGTGCCATGAACATGCACCACGCCCAGGGTTCCCAAGCAGATGTTTGTTTAGACTCTAAGTCTAACACACATGGAGACCTAAACAGAAGTCCCAATGTCAGCCTGGACAGGAGCTATAACCATTTGTTCTCTGAGACGTGGGGAGAATATGTGGAGGCGTCTCAAACTCCAGCAGTAATGTCTCAACTCCAGCAAGCTCAGCAGAAGAGCATGTCCACCCCACGCCGAAAGTCCTTGGTCAGTGAAGTGATTGACCTGTCCATCAGCCCTCCTCCGGGCTCAGAAGTGGCAGGGGTGTCATCCCTCCCAGTGGCCGGCGTGTCTCCGGGTGAAGGAGCAGTCTTCAAACGGTCTTCAAACGCGGTTCTTCCTCCTTCCCCTTCAACATTAAACAGCATTCAGCCTCAGCTCTCATCTCCAGTACCCTTGGGTCCATCAGGCAGGTCCAAACACTCATCTCCAGGGCTCAGTAAAACAAGGCCTGGACTTTCCTTTCCATTAGCTAGTAGCACAAAGCCTGAGCATCTATCTAGACCTCGTCCAGTAGCCTTTTCCAACCGCTTATCTGCAACGTCCAGTAAAAACAAGCCTGAACTGTCTCCTTTAATAGCCAGTAGCATCAAGCCTGAGCTTTCATCTCCAGTGGCGATCTGTAACCAACCTGAGCTCATCGTCCTCTCTGACTCCAGCGATGACATGGATTCCCACCCCCATCTTGACAAGGTTTCCACTCCATCCCCATCTCCATCTCCTCCAAGATTCAGTCAGAACTATACTCAGATTAAAGCTAAAGAAGGCATGGAAGTTGGACTCCCTTCAAAAAAATCAGATGAAAGGGGATGTTCCAAAACAGACCAATCAAAGGGTGCCCTGAATGGCCCAGACCATCAAAGCATGTTGGACGGCTCTGCTGAGGTTTCTTGGCTTATCCCGGCCACTCCAGAAGTTTCCACACGCTCCAGCTCCACGCAGACCCGCAGCAGCATGCGGCGCACTCAGCTCTTTCCCAAATCTTGTTCATTGTCCTCCTCTTCTGTCCCTGACAGCTCTGAAGCAGACACACACTCTGGTTCCCTTAGAGAAAGACCAGCTTGTTCAAGACCGTGTCCAGATCAGTGCTCCTCTAGAGACGGTTCTACCAGTGACGTTCTTGAGCATTCCCCAGTTTTTCAGAAGCCAACATCCCGCTCCAAACTCCAGACTGATGCTTCACAGTTTGCAAAACAAACTCACCGCTCACCCCTTCCTGTCTCCATGCCCTCCAGCAGCACTCCCGTGCACTCTACCCCCTGCCCAAAGCCTCCAGAGCCACTGGGATCGCCCCTGCTGAAAGAGTGCAGGCTTAGACCGCAGAGTACGGCATCATGGGAGGAAGATGATGACTTTGCGACGGGAACTTCACCTTCTGTCTCTCAGCGAGTGGCTCCTGCGAGGACGCCATCTCGGCTGAAAGTAACAGGTGACAAAGACAAAAGTGTAATATCGCCAGTGTGTTTGAAAAAACATATTAGACCGCAGAGTACGGCATCATGGGAGGAAGATGATGACTTTGAGACGGGAACTTCTCCTTCTGTCTCTCAGCGAGTGGCTCCTGCGAAGACGCCATCTCAGCTGAAAGTAACAGGTGACAAAGACAAAAGTGTAATATCGCCAGTGTGTTTGAAAAAACATATTAGACCGCAGAGTACGGCATCATGGGAGGAAGATGATGACTTTGAGACGGGAACTTCTCCTGTCTCTCAGCGAGTGGCTCCTGCGAAGACGGCATCTCAGCTGAAAGTAACAGGTGACAAAAGTGTAATGTCGCCAGTGTGTTTGAAAAAACATATTAGACGTTTTAAGGCCCAATCCCATTTCTTCTTTTTTTTTTACCCCTATCCCTTGTTTTCAAGTGTCACCCTAATCCCTTGGAACTGAGTTACAAGGGGTAGTGATTAAAATCTTGCCCTGTGAAATGAGGCCCCTTAAATAAAAAAAAACAAAACACATTGCTTCATTAACAGCTACTAGCGCTGCTCTGTAGGCAACCCTGCCAGTCTGCAGTGACAGCAGAAGAGGGTAAAGTTCAGCTCCTCACTGCTGGGCTTTAGTTACATTTAGGGCATCATATGCCTTCAAAGAGGGGGGGCAATTATTTATTATCACCCACCCCTAATTCTTCAGTGATATGAAGCTGAAGTCAGATATTCACCAGCTTCTTGTTTGAATTTTCCAGTTCCACCTTAAATGGCGCAGCAGTTATATTCTGGTGCTTCAGATGTCAGAACTGCTGGACTATTTAAGGTGGAACGGGAAAGTTAACTAGCTAACTTAGTTAGTTAGCTAGCGATTTTTTAGTGCTTGTTATGAAGAAAAGGACCATAATACACTGAAGTGACATTAAACTAAGATAATACAGTGATCATTGAAATTTTTTCACAAAGAAATTTTGTGGATTTCTTTGGTCTCTTGTACACTCCGTTTGGATTATTTCTATGAAAAACCTCAGTTTGGAGGGCCATGTAGCCCTAACACTTCGCCCTACCCCTCTATCTCAGCAAAAATTGGGACACCCTACCCCTAGACGTGAACACGCAAAGCAGAGGGCTAAGGGCTAAGTGGTAGGGGTGAGGGGTGAAATGGGATTGGGCCTAAATAACTAAATATAAAGGTTAATGCTGTGTACTAGTGGATCAAGAAAGGCTTGATTTTAGTCGAGGTAGTCTTGTGCACTGTTCAAGCTGGATTAGTTTTACTATCAGTGGAGAAATTGTTATGTAATGTGTTGGTGTTTGACTGATAAATTTCTGTGTAATTTCCCTTAATTTCTACAGAGAGCCCAGCTTGAAAAGTTAGTGCCGTGCCACAGGATACAATCAGTAACAATAACAACATGCCATACTGCTCTGTCTGTTAGCAGGTTTTATTTTTCTATTAGCTTTTTTGCTATCAGATAAAAACTACACACACTGCAGATTCATACTGGATTAAAATCACTCCACAATTATTACCGTCAGACTGTAAAACTACACACACTGCAGATTCATACTGGATTAAAATCACTCCACGATTATTACTGTCAGACTGTATAAACTATGCAGATTTATACATTTATAGATTTATTTCAGATTTGTACTCGTTATTAATCACTTAAATTATAGGCCTCTCCAGGTTAAACAAATCCATGGATGTGGCCGACAATGGAATGTTGGCCTGATGTTTGCACTGTCCCTCCTGCTTTCATATGTTAAGGGCTTATAGATACCTTACAGTGAATAAACATGGTCAGGCCTAGAATCAGTGGTGGGCTTATGATTGTCCTTTCTTTTCACTTTTGCAGGGCTTGGCTCCATACATCTCAGTCAGTCTGAGAAGTTGCCGCCCCAACACAGAAATTCAGAATCCAGGGAAGAGGCATCCCTGAGTCCGCCCGGGGAACCTGAGCATGCCGAGACCGAGAGAGATATCACTGGTGAGACAGGAAAGAGAGACGAGGAAGAGAAGGGAACAGTGGAGGAGGAAAACAGGAGCGTGAATGAAGTAGAGATGGCTGGGGAGGCCAGTTTCTATGCCTTCGATGAGCCACCCATCGCGTTTGATGACTCATGGGGTCTTGGTGGAGGAGGGGTGGGGGACCAGGGGCCCTGCCTCAGTCTGAGGCTGGAGAGCAGTGGAGATCCAGACAGCACCTTAGAACACAGGGGGCAGAGGGAGACGGCCACGCCACACTCTCGCTCTCCTTCCGGTCAGGAAACTCATGCCACATCACGTATTTCTGTAGCTGCAGTCAACCACAGCTTGCCAGATCCTGCAGCGTGGGACAGCTGGAGGGAAGATGATGATGATGATGAAGACGAAGACGGACATGCTCTTCCTCTCTCTGAGCGAGTTGGTGCAGTGGCTCCTCCAAAGAGAGTGGCTCAGCTTAAAACCCCAGGTAAGACATAATTATTTAGGTTTGTTTAGGTAGGACTGTGCAGTACATGGTTTGTTCGTTATTATCACAATATCGGCCTTTACAATACTGATACTGCACTATGCGTCTCACACATTACTAGATTTTGTACTTGACCAGTCACACATGATATAGCTATGTTTCTGTGGATGGTTTAGGGCAGGAGGTCTCAACCTTTTCCACCCCGAGGCCCACCTGTGAATAACTACAAAGCATAGCGGCCCACAGGAAAACTAAAACCAACTTTTTAAATACAACTTTATTTTTCTTTTCTTAAATGCTGACACTGAAAACCTAAAGATTAGATCTTGAAAAAGATCAGACTGGCCATTCTGGTTGTCAGTAGGTTTGCAAAATTTGCAGGTATGTTAAAAAACATGAAACGTTAAATAACCAACTTGGTTGTAGTGATGACAAAAAGGGGTAAAAATGGAAAAAAAGATAGAAATGCACAAGGTAGATGTGATTTTGGTAGCTGTAGTCCATCACATTTTCACTCAGAATGCTCCACCGGCTTCCCAAAAGAGTAACCGTTTGGTCCTGATGTCTCTAGTTTTGAGGGTATTTGTGATTCATTTGAAATAAACCTCACTCCACTCACCGGGCTTTTGGTTTAGCATCGTCACAATTAACAATAATGATAAATCTTACTTGATACCGGCTTCTTCATTGGTTGATCGGTTTGAGTTTAACCACTCAGGTCGCTGATGCTCGACCAAAAGGCGCTCCATGATCCATGAGCTGAAATCAAACTCCTCTCTCTCTGTTATTTTATGGCTCGTCGTTGTTTTTAACGGCAGCTTGTGCTCAGTGTCTAAAGAGTCAGACGTTAAAACAGTCGTTATGCTGACTGTTTGGCGCCGATGTGCTGCTACAGGAGAAGGAAAGCCAGGTCTGCTGATGAATTCCCTCATTTGACCACAGAGCACGTTTCCTTTAGCAGTGAACTGAACAGGGTTCGGTTGAAGTGGACCGAGACCCGCGGGTTACTGCCGGACTGGTTCAGCTGTTTGTTGAGGACTCTAATACGGGTGGAGTGTTAACACGTGTTAAAACGGAGCGAACTAAAGAAAAAGGTGTGATAAGTGCTCACCAAACAAAGCGCCCTGAGAAACTTCTCCATCTCTGGCTCGCTGTCTGCATCGCGAGCTCACGGCTGCGCTGTCTCAGACCGATGACGTTTAATTAGCCACTAACGCTTTTATTAGTACATCCTTATTAATATTCATATATAGGTGAAAACGTTTAATTCTTAGATTTTTAATTATTAAGTTCATATTTCCACTTATGTTTTTACAACTTACAGTGACGTTACCGGCCCCAATTACTGCATCCCCCTAAGTTCAGGCCCGCGGACTACTAGAGGGTGCTTCACGGCCCACTGGTGGTCCGCGGCCCACAGGTTAAGAAACCCTGTATTTGGGCATTAATACATTCACACAATACAAAAACAGTTGATTGTTTTGCTCAAAAATAACATAAGCCTATGGTAAAGTACATCAAGGATTCATATATGTTGCATAATTTTTATAAAGTATTTTTATAAATATTATTTAAAGTTAATGCTGGCCAGTGAATAAGGCAAGTCTTTATCTTAACCTGGACTTAAATACTACTCTGGTCTCTAGCTTTGGGTTTGGCCTGCAATTTTACATTGATTTCAGTGCTGCAGCTGACACGCTGCTTATGTATGCATTTGTAATATAAATCTATTCTTTTAGTGGCTCGCAAGAAGAACAATCAAGTCCCACTGGTGCCAATCACTCCAATGCCTGGCTTCTCAGATATGGACACGCCTGAGCTCAAGAAAAGACTGGACAGGTGAGGCTCTGACCCACTGTAATCAGTATTAGAGTGAATTGGATTGACAGAGAATTAGTGTCAAAATTCAGAGCCATGACACAGATTTATTTAATTCTAATAATTATGCTTTGCCCCATGAGCAATGACCTCAGGAAGATTCATGACTGGGAAGAGATCAAATATAATAAAAAACTGTCCCAACAAAGGTTCTTATATTTTAATTAAACCCATAATGCAAACCCAGTGCCAAAAAAATTTGGGACAGTATGTAAAATGCTAATAAGAGTAGAAAGCAGTGATTGGTAAATTCAGTTTGACCTGTATTACATTTATTTTACGTTTTACCATATAAACTTCATTGTTTTTTGTAAATATACACTAATTCCAAATTTAATACCTGCAACGCTTTCCAAAAATTGGATCAGGAGCATTTTTTCTACTCACCATTCCTTTTAACAGCACTTAATAAAGTAGGGACTGAAGACACGAACTGATAAAGTTTCGAAAGTGGAATTTTTTGCCATTCTTTTGTTATACAAGTCTTCAGCTATGCAACCGTACGGTCCTTCATGGTCATATTTTGTAGTCCATCTGTTTCTCTGCATACTTTGTTAGCCCCCTTTTACCCTGTTCTTCAGTGGTCAGGACCCCCATGGACCCTCACAGAGCAGGTACTATTTGGGTGGTGGATCATTCTCAGCACTGCAGTAACACTGACGTGGTGGTGGTGTGTTGTGCTGGTACGAGTGGATCAGACACAGCAGTGCTGCTGGAGTTTTTAAACACTGTGTCCACTCACTGTCCACTCTATTAGACACTCCTACCTCATTGGTCCACCTTGTAGATGTAAACTCAGAGATGATAGCTCATCTGCTGCTGCACAGTTTGTGTTGGTCATCCTCTAGTCCTTCATCAGTGGTCACAGGACGCTGCCCACAGGACGCTGCCCACAGGACGCTGTTGGTTGGATATTTTTGGTTGGTGGACTATTCTCAGTCCAGCAGTGACACTGAGGTGTTTAAAAACTCCAGCAGCACTGCTGTGTCTGATCCACTCAGATCAGCACAACACACACTATCACACCACCACCACGTCAGTGTTACTGCAGTGCTGAGAATGATCCACCACCCAAATAGTACCTGCTCTGTGAGGGTCCATGGGGGTCCTGACCACTGAAGAACAGGGTAAAAGGGGGCTAACAAAGTATCAGAGAAACAGATGGACTACAGTCTGTAACTGTAGAACTACAAAGGGCACCTATATAGTAAGTGCAGCTGATAAAATGGACAATGAGCGTAGAAACAAGGAGGTGGTCATAATGTTATGCCTGATCAGTGTATATCCACACTTGATTGCATCTCCTGTTTAAGATGACCATTTCACTACATTCATAGTCTTAAATTGCTCCTGTCCCAACTTCTTTGGAACTTGTTGCATCAATTTCAGAATGTATATTTACAAAAACAATGAAGTTGATAAAATAAGATAAAACATTGTCTTTGAACTGTTTTTGTTCAAATACAGGTCAGAGTAGATTTATAAATCACACTGCTTTCTGTCTTTATTTGCTTACCATCCCAACAGGTGTGAAAACAATTAGAGTCAGGATATTCTGAAGAAGTAATGCCTAGAATTTGTGGGTCTAAAATGTAGGATTGTGATGATTTATTTCCTTTTTCAATATTTACATCCTTCCAGGTTTGGGGTCCGCCCCCTCCCCAAGAAACAAATGGTCTTGAAGCTGAAGGAGATCCACCAGTACACCCACCAGCTGATGACCTCTGAGTCTGAGGAGGAAACTTCTCCAGTGAGCCGTCCCAGAGCGGGGCGTCCGCCAATGGCATCAACTCTCCAGCCTGCACTGCTTTCCTTTAAACAGCCCACAGCACCACCTCCTGTCTCTCCTAGGAAACTGCAGTTTGGCAGTGAGGATCATGATGTCCTACCTACATCTCAGGATTCCAACACATCCTCCACAGCTGAGTCAGAAAGGTACAACACCTGCACACATATTTACATGTGTTTAGACTCACTAATACTAGGCACATCTCTCTAATACTGTCAGAACGCTACTGGGAATAGGTGCTTTTATGCATGTTTGTGTGTTTATTCCTTTATTAGTGCGTTTATTGTTATATAAGGGTTTCCACATTCTTTTTCCTAGCATGTTTGTAGCTTTGTTTACAGTTTGCAATCATTTTTCGCATTCATTTTTGTGCTTTATGTTCAGTAACAACTTTAGTTTTCTGTATTTAAACTAGACATATTTCACAATATCAGGTATTTTGAGAACAACAAGAAGTAAGAAATCACATGAACAGTAAGAAAATGAGAATAATACATATACTGTAATACTTTATTTACAGTGTTTTTTTTTGTCTAGTTGTTAGCTTGAGATTTGAAATAGGAGTCATTCCGCTTTATTCTTAATGCTCCATTCATCATTCTGGACTTTAGCATTTCTCATGTGCCAAATTGTTTATTTTATTTGTTTATTTTTTAAAAAACATTCATTACACATGTTTAAATGGTGATTCCGATATATTTGAAACAGCATTTCCTATCAGTATTTCTCATATAATGCAGGTGGCACATATCTGTGAGTTTACTGCCTTCAGTCACGTTATAGTCCATGTAAAACAGTGCCTAAGTGTAACCTCTGGTCTCCAGGTCAAACCCTGAGCTGTGCGACTCCGACGACGACGGCTCGGACAGCGAGGGAATCACAGCGTCTCAGGCAGCCGTGCGCGAGAAGGACAAACTCCTGGCCGTGCGCTCCTTCATCCAGTCGGACCCAGTTCTGTACGGCCATGTGCTGCAGTACCAGCCGCTCTCCCTTTCTGAGCTGAAGGCCAGGCTGAGAACAGCAGGCATCAGGCTGGGCACTGCCAAGCTGCTGGACTTCCTGGACTCCCAGTGCATCACCTTCACCACTGCCAAGCCAGGCCACCCAGCCCCCTCACGCAGGAAGGCCCGTACCCGGGCCCCTGCTGCAGGGCCAGGGCGTGCAGGTGGCCGGGGGAAGAGGAGGATGGCTAAGCCAGCTGACTGAGCTGCGTGAGGAGGCCTACAGGAATGTTCTCTGAGAAGGACTTCAGAAAAGCCGTGCTAAAGGGACTGTGGGAGCACACACTCGATGAGCAGCCTAAGAGCGACCATATGGAAGATACTTTTGGATGAGCTGCCTTAGAGAAACTATGGAAGAGCCTTCTGGATGAGCTGCCTGAGAGGCACTACAGAAGAGCCCTCTCGATGAGCTGCGTGAAATGGGCTATAGGAGACTACTCTGGATCAGCTGTGTGAAAAGGACCATACAGAAGAAGAGCCCCCTGGATGACTGCATGAAATGGACTATATAGAAGAGGCTTCTAAATGAGCTGTATAAGAAAGATGAGGTGGTGAGTAAAGTTAGAGAGAGTGTGAGTCAGTAATAGATACCGATAGGAATAAGAGCGGTGCATTTGGAGTTGTTCTTCGCTCTTTGTACCCCAAGGGCAGTGTTTTTCAATCCTGGACCAAAAGCACCCCTGCACTGCACATTTTATGGTCTAAGACATTCATTCAAACCTCATAAAGCAGCGGTACGAAAGAGCAGGATTAGGAAACACACTCTAATGCATGTGATTCAGCACATTGGTTAAATATCAGTCCCTTTATGAGCTGAATGGAGAACAGTGCACAGGGGTGTGGTGCTGCAGCAGTGGGACTGAAGTTATCTGCTGTGCCTGTAGTTTATGATGAGTCATGAAGAGCTAGAAATTAACTCAGGGTTTCAGACAAGCCTCCTTGTTTGGTGCATTTTTATACCTCATTGTTTAAACAGTTTTAAAATGTCAAAATATTAATTAAACCAAGTGAAGTTAATGTTTAAATAATGGAATTAAAAGATTAATTTCCTAAAGCACTAACTACCCTTTTTTTTTTTTTTTAAATATTTCCCAGTATTACAAACTGCAACTCCTTTGTGATTTGACCTAAAAGAAGGCACTCAGCACACCAAGTCTTGAAAAACAATTTACTGTTTTTAATGATCATTTTTTCATTTTTTATGCAAAGACCAGCCAAGAAAAAAACGGACGTCTCGTTTTCGGCACGCTGTTAGAAAGAACCAAAAGCGGAAGAAAATCTCGGATCATCCTCTCTTTCTGAGTTGTCTGTCGGTGTGTGTGTGTGTGTGTGTGTGTGTGTGTGTGTGTGTGTGTGTGTGTGTGTGTGTGTATGGGTAAGAGAGACTGGCCAGCCAGGCAGAGGCAGGACAACCAAAGAAGAAAGGGCACATATCTAACATTGAGTTCAGATTGAAGCCTTTCTCTGCTTCTCTCTGTGTAGTGCAGTCTGGCCTCGTGAACTCTGAGCACAGTGTCCTGTGGTGGCGGTAGAGAGCTCAGCTTAGTTCACCTGGTAGGTCAACCTGAGCCCCCCCCACACACACCCCACTGCCCCACCTCAGTCCAGCACCCACGACCCTCCCCCGCTGCACCCCTGTCCTGCAGCTGTCACGACAGATTGGCGATGTTGGCCAGGAAGCGTTGAGCCCACCACTCCTCCAGATCAATAGGCACAAAGTCTGCAGAGAGAAACTCATTATTAATAAGAATAACAAACAAACGTTGTCAGCTACTAGTTACTGTGCAGTTACTGTACACTAGTTATCATCATACATGTAGTTCAGTGGTCCAGATATGCTGACAAGAAGTACTAATGGACAACACTGAGTGCGTATTCATGCACTCAATAATCCGATTTCTGCAGTTATCCGATTATTCAAAGGATCATGTAAACACCATACTCCGATCTAGAAATCCGATAAAGAGGCTGGATTTTAGCTCAGTATCAGATTTCTCAGTGCATGTAAACTCTTACTCTGATTTCTTTCGGATTTCTCAGTCTGCGCATGTGCGAGATCAGACGGTGGACGTCATGATACGCAGCGAAACACGTTTGGAGCTGCACTGAAACCACACACGAAATGAAAGTATTTAAATATTCTTCATCTTCTTAGATGATGCATGTTCTTATTTTCAGGTAAAGTGACTCGATGTTTAAAAAAAAAAATTTGTTATGTTACGTTTGTCACGTACGTTGTGTTAGTGTGTGTTGCGCTAGTCTGAGTGGATCAGACACAGCAGTGCTGCTGGAGTTTTTAAACACCTCAGTGTCACTGCTGGACTGAGAATAGTCCACCAACCAAAAATATCCAGCCAACAGCGTCCTGTGACCACTGATGAAGGACTAGAGGATGACCAACACAAACTGTGCAGCAGCAGATGAGCTATCGTCTCTGACTTTACATCTACAAGGTGGACTACAAGGGGGCTAACAAAGTATGCAGAGAAACAGATGGACTACAGTCTGTAACTGTAGAACTACAAAGTGCACCTATATAGTAAGTGGAGCTGATAAAATGGACAATGAGCGTAGAAACAAGGAGGTGGTCATAATGTTATGCCTGATCGGTGTAAGTCTATATGGCGACTGTCATAAGAAAACCTTGCATCTCCAAAACTGACTTTATAAGCCAGTCTCTCAATCACAGCTTCCTTTCAAAGTTAAAGATAAAAGCAGCACGCAGGGAATACAGGGTATAAGTCAGAGAAGGTTAACGTGAAATCTAACGGCATTCGAAAGCCATGTTTTGAAACCTGATCGGGCCTCGGCTGCTACAGAAAGTCCTTGCTGTGGTGGAGCCCGAGAGCACAGCTGTCATTCTGGCAGTTGCAGATTTACACTTGGACCATGCCACAGCCTCAGGGCCAAGGGGAAGTGTTTCAGTAGCACCAGGTGGGGGAGCAGCAGGGAGGGTGTGGTGACATTCTACAGCTGTTCAGCAACCACAGTTATGTGATGCACAGACTAGGGCTGCACAATACAACACTGCTTGAGCATGATCAGCAAAAGCCTTCACAGTACTGATACCGCAGTGTATGATCTGCAAATGAGCCTCTGACCAAATCGCTCAATGTTTTGTTGCACAATTGATCGATGACAGATGTTCTTTGGTTGAATCGAGGCATTCATGTGAGCCAATACAAAACTTTGTTCTAAATGATGGAGGCCAACGTCACATCAAGAGGTTAATTATGCATTTTTTAATATTTTCCACATTGTGGAGCCCTAACCAGAACATTGTCTCAAATCCCCCTCTAAATGCACCCTTTTCTTTGCTCCTTAGAATCCAGCTCCAGCTTTAACCCAACATTTGAGTGTGTCTGAACACGAAAATCACACCCCTAATATACAGTAGGTTAATTGGATCCCCTGCTGTGCAGTAACAGTGGACACTAATTGGACCACTATAAAGGATCAGAGATGGTATAGATCTCCGAAATTGGAGTAATATAGGAAAGTGGGTGTAAATACGTAATATATAAATAAGATATTTGCCTTAATAGAGACAGTTATCAGTTATTAAGTGTGGTTGTAGTACAGTCTTATGGTGTTTCTCCACTGTGCAGTACAATACAATTACAAATCTGAAACCAAAACTATCCGTACCATGCTGGAGTACGTGTGTCCCTTTCCTAGCGCACAACAGAAGCATGAAAGTAAGTGGAGTTCTCTTTAGCTTGTGTGGTCACATGATTTCTCACGCAAATCTATCCTTAGTAACAACTTAGGAGCTTCAAGTTCTGGTTTACCATTGGCTTACTGTTTGGTTTATTTTAGTCACAGCCAGCAATCCTGACTAACCGTTTTCTTTTTTTGTTTGTTTCTTAAAGGGGTCGTCTGACTCCAGTGACACCACATGACGATTTTGTGTGTTTGACCAATCAGTGGTTTGTACCATCACTAGCTCCACACACAGGTTCCGGCTCTGCATGCTTCATACCCCAATAAAAGGCTGTCTAAATTCAGCAGGTGTACTCAGGTTTGGTACAGTTTACTTCTGACCAGACCAAATTGCGCTGCCCAGTGCAAAAACTCCTTTATAAAACATCGTTCTGGTCCTAAAATCTGATTGGCTGAGCTGCGTTCAAAGCCGTTGTAAAATCCAGGGTGTATCACGGCTATGACGCCTCACAGTGACTGAACTCTGTATCATTGCACCACGGCACAAAAAACGCTTCTGCTGTTAAAGGATTAATCTTTGACTCTAATGCTGGTCACACAGAGCACCAAGTGAACTGATGAAGTAAGAACCCGGTTTTGTTTTAAACTGAGTGGCTGAAAACTTATTTTCTTATCTAGAACTGGGCTGGTCAGCTAACAGGCTAGAAGACAGCAAACATGCTAAACAACTCCAACTTTAATATCACAGGCTTGAATTAAAGCACTCACAATATGATTCACTGTAAAACGGCACTATAAAAGTCTAAAGAATGAACCTGAATGTCTCACACACTTCAAATGTCCGTGTTTCAGTCAGAAGTCGCGTCAAACCCAGGCTGAGTCCCAAACGGCTCCGTACTCCCTAGCTAAATAGTGAGCTGTGTAACATTAAGTTTGGAAATTTTATCTTCTGCTGTCTGATACTGCACTGCCTGTCGAGTATGAATGTGTATGAACCCCAAATGACCATTTTTAGCAATATGGATTGTTGGGTTGCAGGAGTCAGTATTTAAATGCCTATGTAGTGCACTATGTAGGCAGCAGGGAGCCGTTTGAGATTCAGCCCCTGCATGAGAAAAGTGGCAGAAGACTCACGGTGGTGATTTGGTGACCAAAAAGTACTTATAAACTATGCATTAAACAGTGCTGTGTTATCATATGTTTACTGTTATATGATTTTTTTTTTTTTTTAAATCATGAAATGTCTGCAGTTTACAGTGATGGAACTACATTTCTTGGCAGAATACTGATGTTGATTATTATTAATAATAACTTAAATAATTATCTAAAACCCTTTATAATAATATATTTTATGTTGGCCGCCGTTTAATGAAAGCAATAAGCCACTCGAGGCAGTGTGTTACTGCGGTTTTAATCACAGCGAAGGGAGTTTTACTCCGCTTCGCATCATGCCTAACAACACCCTTCCCCGTGATAAAAATCACAGTAACCCACGGCCTCTGGTAGCTTATTGCTTTACTAGGATAGTGACTAGCTGTTGGTGGTATAAGAGTCTATTTACAAAGTACTGTACTGCAGTAGTTCTGTATAATGTAACTCCTATAGAACATTATGCTGTGTTCACATGTTGAAAATACCTCACTGGTAAGTGAGAGTGGATGATTATCAGATGAAAACTAAGCAGTGTCGATTACTCGTTTAAGGTAAAATAGTCAAGAGGATCCTCTACTTATCTTTTTTTTGTTTAATATCAGGTGACTTGGACTTCAACAATAACACATTTGGTATTCATCCACTTAGTGCTGCGGTCAGCAGAACAGAACATGCTGTGGGTGGAATTTTCCGTCACAGCTTCCTTGAGAACCACAGAATATTTAGTTTGCTGTCATCCCTCTACCACCAGCATGTAAATTCAGCTTAGGTTTATGTAATCCAGTGACCGCTTGCAACATACGCTGTTAACAGTATAAGACTATACGGCGACTGTCATAAGAAAACCTCACATCTCCAAAACTGACTTCATAAGCGATTTGGGGAAGTTCTATTAATGTAACAACTTCAAACTTCTCATAAAACGTTCACACAGTGCAGCGGGACGTAAAGTGACGGATGCACCTTTATAACATGAGTGGCATAAGACCGCATGTATTTAGTGACTCACTCTTCATGCTGGGGTTAGGACTCCTCTCGGCATACTGCACTGGGCCTTTCCCGTTCTCCGGCTGGGCTCCGTCCCCAAGCTTTTGCTCCACCTCCTGCCAAGCTGCAAACACACACACAGTTTCTCAACATTAGTAAACAACACTGTAGGAACTGAAGCTGGATTAATTGGTTAATTAAGCCAAAATGCTTCCAAGTGACTCATTTCAGCGCTAACGAAGACAAAGCCATAAGTTTGCTTGTTAACCTCTGAATCCCAGCTTCGTAGACAAGACCTGTCAAGACTTAAGTACTTCGTAGACCCCTCCAGACCCGCCAGTGCGTGCTAATCAGATAAACAAGAAGACACCTCTGTAGGAAAGGCTACTTAGCTTGGCACTTAACCAGAGATTACTTGTGGACAGCAGGTGACCTCAAAGCGCTTACAGTTTTCAGTTTTGACAGTCTAGCTTAGTGGGGAGTGAGAAACAGCTTAGCGGGACTGCTGCTGTCTACTGAATGGAAGATCTGAGACCTAAAATCATTTCCATTTAATAGCTAAACAATGTATTCAAATGCAAAACAAGGGTGGGTTGTGATCTGACTGGCCTTGCGAGCTAAGCAGGCTAGATTGCATGTGTAGTTGCATCAGCCATTAGGAGGGGTCTTGCCTGAAGAAGGGCAGTTTCACCGAGATAAGAGCTTTGGGCTTTTTTTTCCCCCTTTTAAACATGTTGTGTTGGCTTTATGTATGTTTGTGTACTGAAAGTGGCAACTGGTGAAACAGCTGTGTGAAACCTGCTGTACCTTGTTGCAATGAACTGAATAGAATACTAACATCACTGTTTGCCAAATGCATGACCAAAACAAAATGGGTTAACAGTTCATGTTATTGAATAAAACTTAGGCTTTTTAACTGTTTAATATACACTCTCTTGCTTTAGTTCCACAAAATGGACCCTGTAAGTTATTATTTCTAAACTGTGGCTTATCTTTTACAGCATGCAAATGACCTTAACCCCTACCGAGTGAAAGCAATTCGTGGAAAAACCATGACCCTGTGAGCAGCCTGGCTAAAATTAATCTTTCTCTGGCATTGTAAGTGTCACGGACAGAGCTCCTGTCCCTGCCTTTGCCCTTCTCTTGGAGTCTGATGATGGCCAGGCTGAGATATATGCACAGCACAGGCTTTGTACACAACACTGTAAGACACCCAAGAGCACCACATGTCCTATAGTTTGTAGACATGAGCTCATCAAAAGGCTTCTTCTGAAATTAAGGGTATTAATAGGACATTGGTCCCCTTATCACTCTTGTAACAATAGTGGAACCCTTTTTGGTGCTAGATAGAACCATCTACAACACATTCTCTATCAATCTGAAGAACAATTTCACGATGCAAAGGACATTTAATCATGCAGAGGGTTCTTGGTTCTACATAGAACCATTTTCTTGATTAAAGAACCCTTGAAGAACCATAAATTTAAGAGTGCTGCTGTAATAGCCTCCAATCTTCTGAGAAAGCTTTACACTAGAGGGTGGAACATTGCTGTGAGGATTTGATTGCATTCCAGCACTAGTGAGGTCAGGTAGTGATATTGGATGACTAGCTCTGGATCCACTCTGACTCCGCAGCCCAATGCTGGGGGGCTTTATACACCTCTAGCCCATGCTTGGCATTGGGCTTGGTAGCCTTAGGCCTACGTGCAGCTGCTCCCAGAGCTGAACAGCTGAATAACTTCTGACTTCTGTTTTCTTGGTTTAATTTAAAAGAAGGAGATCAGTTCATTCAGTTATTTGGACCCAGTCCCATTTATTGGCAATGCTTTTCTAGGGATTATACAAGCTGTGCATACGAAATCGCTTAAATTTCGCTTAATTTACCAATTAGAGAGGTGTCCACAAACTTTTGGACACACAGTGTACACAATAACTAAACCTCTCTCACCTTCATACACAAATCTGACATTTTCCTCGTGTGCTGGAGTGAAGCCTTCGGCTGTGCTGTCCTCTTTCGGCGAGGTCGATCTGTGGTAGCGCTTTCCGTTCAGGCGCTGGAAGACGATTTTAGGCGCCGGCGAACTAAAAGCAACAACATTAAAATTAAAAAACACAACATTTTTAATGAGGAAAAGAAAAGGAGGTCAAGGTGGCCGGTTTTAAAATGATAGGGAATTCAGAATTCATGCATAATAAAATGGTCAGGATGTAAACAAAGTGATTTAGAATGGATGTGAAAAGGACCATTTTAGAGAAACCTAGCCACTAATTGTCCGCAGTGGTGGTGATAGGAACCAGACATCTGAAGAGTTTAATTCCTCTAAACGTTACGCCACAGAAAAAGTTATTACACAATATCATTACCAATAGTTTTGGGATTTTTGAGATGAGGTTTTTACCTAAAACATTTTTAACACCACCACCAGCGAACCTACACATGTCTGAGTTTTTATATGTAATGTTTATGCTGGTAAAATAGTCATAAAAATTAAAAAAAAAAAAAAATGTTACTGGGGACTATTTTGCCTCACAACACCCTTCATGAACGCCTCTGTCCATGCATAAATTAAAATAGATTTTAAGCCAAAATCTTTATCACTAAATGTCATGTAATCGTTTTCTGTGAGGGAGCTTTTAGAGGTGGACGTCTGGTTCCTATCACCCGCACTGTGAACAGTTCTGACTTTGTAAATTTCTCCAAAACGGAGTATCTCACACCAAACCATCCTGAATGACTCCGTTTACATCTCAACCCATAAATTATATACAATTCTTGAAAAATATCCGGAATTCCCCTTTAAGACCCTCGGTGAGCGGCGCTACGCTAGAGAAACGCCAGTCAGGGTCGTCAGCACTGCGCATGCGTCTGCTGTTGTAACTTCCCTACACAATGTCGTCTCTGTGGAGACTGGCAGGCAGCGTGTTATGAAATTGTGCTGTTATCCTTCATAATGTTGACCAAAATACGGCCAGCATGCTACATTTACATACGTATAAACACTTAACGTTATATTAACTGGACCAAAAGCTCCGGAGCTTCAGACTAGCTTACAGCTCTGTGCAGCTCCCTGAGAGAGACTGTGTCCTTGCTCTTACACGACAAGCCTCTTTTCAAAGATTTGCTTTTCATCTTCATTAAATCTTCGAGTTTTGTCGAAAATGAACAAGCAGGTCAAACATTCACCACAGGTTGGACGCGCCGGTGCCAAGCGGACGTACTGAGCATGCGCAAAGCACTAGTCTAGCGTAGTAACTCAGCATATCAAACGTTTTATTGCATTTTTTTTAATGTTGATTCAGTACAAAGTCAGGCTAGTGTTACTACCTACCGCCTGATAAGGCAATTTAAGCTATCAGAATGTCATAATTATGCTTTTAACGCCGGTAACCGTTTCTGATAAGGAGATTCAGGCTATCACAATATCATCCCAGTAGTTTTAATACTGGTAGCACAGCCTAAATAACCTGATCAGGCAGTCATGATATCCCACGTGGTGTTTTGTGCAGATCAGGAAAACAGGCGATCCGGTAGGACGCTTGCACAAGCTAGGTTAGCACACCGGACAGCTCACACGCTCCGCGCACATGCGTAGCACTGACTGACAAGGTCAAACCCAGACTAAAACAAACGGCCTGACAAAAACTTTACACAACCGGCTGGAGTTAAGGTTCCTCGGCTCTGCAGCGGCCCGAGGCCGAGCTCGCTTTGGCTAAAGTCGCTGAGGCTTGTTTTCAGAGCTGGCCTGCAGCGTTTAAAGGTTTAAAGGACGTTTAGCCCACATGGAGCTGAAGGCACGAGCTGAACTCGTACTTTCCCCGTTCCACCTTAAATGGTGCAGCAGCTAGGTTATCTACGTTAAGGTGGAACGGGGAGAACTGGCGAATAGGAAGCCTCGGTCTGCCTCAGCCTCGAGTCGGATTTACTCACTTTGAGTCCAGCCAGTGGCTCTGTTTGTGCTTCAAGTCGTTGGCTTTGCTGTCGATCTGCTGCGTGGGGCCTGAAAGACATACACAATGCACGCATAAGCAGCTGCTTGGAAGTCATGTCCAGGTTATTAAGCTATAGGTGTAAAGGTGTTGTGCTGCTAATGAGTCCTAGGCTTACATATATACATGTACAGTGATGTGATGGCATTTCTAATGCAAAACCAGTACCTGTCCTCCGTTGTGTGACTAGTTTGCTGGGACCTCTGGTTATTGTGTACATCATGTGAGAGCAGGTCGGTTCCCTCCGGAGCCCCAGGTGTGTGTTCACCGTCCACACGAGGTTTGCGGACAGTGTCCGTGTGTGTGTGTGGGATCAGCAGATCAGCAGACACTTTCAGACGCAGTGAAACGGCTTTGGCCGAGCAGACAGGCTTATGTTGTTGGTCCTGGGTCAGCCGAGTGTCCGTCCGCTCCTCCGTTAAGTTACTTAACGCTTCAGCGCAGCGCCTTTTCCTTCCAGCGGTCCCTCCTGCAGCTCCAGCTCTGCACCCCCCAAAGATCAGCCAGCAGGCGCCCGAGCGTTCACCGTTACCGAGCCGTAGGACGGAGAAAAAGGGGGGGTCACTCGGGGTGAGGAGGGGGAAGGTGTTAAGTATCCTCGTACCAATGTTAAACTGAAGGACACCGCTCGGTCTGTAGGACTCCAGGTGACCCTGTTTATGTCACGCCGCTCAGCGCCAAGCCCCGCCCCCTCTGCGACGTCACCACACGCCCCCAACAAACCACTCTTTAACCCGTTCATGCCTCTAGCCTGAGCTTTAAAGGGGCGCTCCACCAATTTTTCGAATTTCTGCATAATAAAATGACGTAAACAGAGTCATTCAGGATGGTTTGGTGTGAGATACTTCGTTTTAGAGAAACTTGCAGAGGCAGAATTGTTCACAGTGGTGGTGATGGGAACCAGACGTCCACCTCTAAAAGCTCACAGCAAGTTATTACATGAAATATATATATATATATATATATATATATATATATATATATATATATATATATATATATGTCAGATATATGCTGCCTCATGTCTGACACACTTTTGTGATAAAGTTTTGGCTTAAAATGTATTTTAACCCGTTCATGGCGGCAGAGGGGTGTTGTGAGGCAAAATAGTCCCCGAAGAAAACTTGTTTTTCCAGATTTCCCCACTATCTTACCATCATCAACAACACATATAAAACTCAGAAGAACATGTAGGTCCACTGGTGGTTCTGGATAGTAAATAAAATGGCTATATTTGTGTTGTAGACATTGTGGTTCCGATCACCACCACTAAAGAAATCGGGGTCTGTAAGTTTCTCTACAATGAACCACTTCACCACTCTGAGCGAGTCTGTTCAAGGACTGAATTATTCAGAAAATCTGAAACATTGTTGGAATTCCCCTTCGCCCGCATGTTCTTCAAACCTGAGCACATATCTGAGTTGATCAAACCTTCTGGCCTTAACACTTTATTTACTAGTAATTTGGTCACATGGTACTACTGACTTTGAGATTCGGAATAACAGTATGAAAATGACATATAATAAAAAAAAACATTCAAATGGCTCCAACTACATGATTAAACCAAGCAGGACAGGTTCGGTGGCAGCTTTTCTTACCATACTTAATGTAGTACATGAAGTTAAGAAGGAGCTGGAGAAAAAAAACAAATAACATTTAAATGATGATACACTGATCAGGCATAACATTATGTCCACCTCCTTGTTTCTACGCTCATTGTCCATTTTATCAGCTCCACTTACTATATAGGTGCACTTTGTAGTTCTACAGTTACAGACTGTAGTCCATCTGTTTCTCTGCATACTTTGTTAGCCCCCTTTTACCCTGTTCTTCAGTGGTCAGGACCCCCATGGACCCTCACAGAGCAGGTACTATTTGGGTGGTGGATCATTCTCAGCACTGCAGTAACACTGATGTGGTTGTGGTGTGTTAGGGTGTGTTGTGCTGGTACGAGTGGATCAGACACAACAGTGCTGCTGGAGTTTTTAAACACTGTGTCCACTCACTGTCCACTCTATTAGACACTCCTACCTTGTAAGTCCACCTTGTAGATGTAAAGTCAGAGATGATAGCTCATCTGGTGCTGCACAGTTTGTGTTGGTCATCCTCTAGTCCTTCATCAGTGGTCACAGGATGCTGCCCACAGGACACTGTTGGCTGGATATTTTTGGTTGGTGGACTATTCTCAGTCCAGCAGTGACACTGAGGTGTTTAAAAACTCCAGCAGCACTGCTGTGTCTGATCCACTCGTACCAGCACAACACATTCCAACACACCACCACCACGTCAGTGTTACTGCAGTGCTGAGAATGATCCACCACCCAAATAGTACCTGCTCTGTGAGGGTCCATGGGGGTCCTGACCACTGAAGAACAGGGTAAAACAAAGTATGCAGAGAAACAGATGGACTACAGTCTGTAACTGTAGAACTACAAAGTGCACCTATATAGTAAGTGGAGCTGATAAAATGGACAATGAGCGTAGAAACAAGGAGGTGGTCATAATGTTATGCCTGATTGGTGTAAATGTGAGTAAAATGTATTACTCTTCAAAATGCAACACTGTTTTCAGGTAACTGGAAAAGTCCAAAGCTAGGGTTGTCCAACAGGAGCTCTCCTCCTAATGGACAGTTCAGACATTTGGTCTCTTATTGAGAAATGCTGCTTTGTAAAATACCTCCCTGATCTGTGGAAAGGTTTCACTATCAGTAAATGTTCTGTTGTGTACAAACTGAATGCTGAGGTTGTACTTTAGACTGTTTTAATCTGTGTAACTAGGCCACTGTAGTGAATAAGAGTAAAGAGCAGCAGGGCGGTGGAGGCGACCAGTGTGGTTTTTTACTTGATGTTATTGCAAATTCTCAAAAGAGAATTTGATATTCCTTTTTTTATACATGTATAGAACCCTGTGCAGATGCAACCACTGAGGTTATGACTTTAGACAGTTTAATAATCCTAAATCTGCCTCGTGTGCGATTCTAGTATTACGCAATACACGTCCACTCGTATAAACTGATGAACGAGCGTGCGCACCCTCAGCCTGCGTAAATGCAACACAGCCGCGGAGGCATGAAGCGGATCAGGCAGGCTTAACGGTGTGAGTGGGTTCGGTCTGCTCAAATGTGGGCCAAAGTGGACAAACCCACTCACAGCCACACACCTGCTTGACTCAGTCAGGGCAGAAATGAGGGAAGGAAAGTGAAAATGTGAATCTGATGCAACTGTTGCATCACCATGTCACATGTCACTCCCTCCTGTTTACAACAGGGAAACAATGCAGTTATTCAACACCGTTTATTCTGTCAAACACATTCAGAGAAATTGCATTCCGTGGTGAATATTTCATTCAGGTCCAGTTTAAAAAATGTGCATTTAGTTCTTTTACTCACTGTGTGTGTAAAGCTTCTGGTCCTACACACTTCCACACTGCAGAAGCTGACTTTCCACACAGACTGAGTCTAGTCTCACTCACTCCATTACTAATAGGGATTCTCCAAATCCCTTTAGAGTTAGATCTACACTCAATCTGTGTCTGAAAAACAACCATAGGATGTCAGGAAAAAGAAAACCTGTCCTTTTTTACAAAAAGGATTTTCCAAATGCACCCAGATTATCATCTGAGACTGAAAGGCCCAATCCCATTTCACCCCTCGCCCCAACCACTTCGCCCTACCCCTCTGTTTTGCATGTTCATGTCTAGGGGTAGGGTGTCCCTTATGATGTTGAGAAAGAGGGGTAGGGCGAAGTGTTGGGGCTACATGGCCCTCCAAACGGAGGTTTTTCAGACACTCCAAACAGAGTGTTATGAGGAAAGAAAAATGGCAAGATGGCTGAACAAGAGACCAAAGAAACCCACAGTATAAAGTATTTTCTCAAAAAATGACGATAACCACTGTATTATCTTAGTTTAATGTTGTTTCAGTGTATTATGGTCTTTTTCTTCATAACAAGCATAAAAAATCGCTACTAATATGCTAATGTCTCAGTAGCTAGCTAACTTTCCCGTTCCACCTTAAATGGTGCAGAAGTTCTGGAGCATGAGGCGCCAGAATGTAACTGCTGCACCATTTAAGGAACGGGAGAATTCAAACAAGCAGTTGGTGAATATCTGACTTCAGCTTCATATCACTGAAGAATTAGGGGTGGGCGATAAATAATTGTCCCCCTCTTTGAAGGCATATGATGCCCTAAATGTAACTAAAGCCCAGCAGTGAGGAGCTGAACTTTACCCTCCTCTGCCGTCACTGCAGACTGGCAGGGTCGCCTACAGAGCAGCGCTAGTAGCTGTTAATGAAGAGATGCTGTTTTTATTTGAGGGTCCCATTTCATAGAGGAAGATTTCAACCACCACCCCTGTAACTCAGTTCCAAGGGGTTAGGGTGACACTCGAAAACAAGGGGTAGAGGTAAAAATGAGAAATGGGACTGGGCCAAAGTGTTCTTGCTTAAGTTAAAGGTGAATTCCACTGATTATTCAAAAGTTTTCCATAATTCAGTGGTTACAATATACGCCAAGACATTCAGAGCGATTTAATGTGAAATAATTCATTTGTAGAGAAACTTACAGATTTTCTTTACAGTGGTGCTGATAAGGAACCAGGGGTCCCAATGCCTACAATGCAAATATAGCCATTTTATTTACCACCCAAAGCCACCAGTGAACCTTTGTCACAAAACTACCGTAAAACAGTGCCTCAGACATCAGCCATTGTATTCATAACCATTGCATGTAATAACTGTTATGTGAGGGAGCTTATAGAGGTGGACGTCTGGTTCCTATCACCACCACTGTGAATAATTCTGACTCTGCAAGTTTCTCTGGAACAAAGCGTTTCACACCAAACCGCTCCGTGAATGACTTTGTCAACATGTTAACCACTTAATCATGCATACATTTTGCAAAATGGGTGGGGTTTCCCTTTAAAGTGAAGGATTTTGCAATCAAGGTAATCTATTAAAGAGCCTGGAGATAGCACTCACTTTAAAGTCCAAAGCAAAAGCTGCTGATTCACACGGCCTGGCAGCTGACCCGGGTTATAGTCTGAGAGTGTAATGTTGTTGCGGTTAGTCCAGTCTGATAACGAGGGTCAGGACTGATTTATTTAGCCGTAACTCGCCCAGCCCTGCTGCAGGAGGAGCACCCAGTCAGCGCAGCTCATTGAGGTTTTTAGAATAGATATCGGGGCCTAGTGTGTTTGGATTAGAGCTTGAAATAAACTGTAGTATGGCAGATTTCCAGGAGTAGGTGCATGTTCTTTCAAGCACAACCAGCCATGGCCGTTTTCTAAGATCATAACAGTGTGAGTGGTTTCATGGATTTCTTATTAGAACACAAGTACATTAATAAGAATACAGTATTGACGGAATTACTACCAAATATAGAAAAACAATACCGAATTTCAGTAGTTTAAATAGTTAGCCTTTACTACCAATGAGTTGATAAGCATGCTGGTTCCATAATCTAGACTGGTGATTGGCTGTCTAACTCACATTTACTTCTGGTTTAAAGGGGAATCCTACCAACTTTTGAACATTTCTGCATAATGAAGTTGTTAAGATGTAAACAAAGTCATTCAGCGTGGTTTGATATGAAATGCTCTGTTCTAGAGAAACTTACCAAGTCAGAATTGATCACAGTGGTGGTGATAGGAACCACAAGTTCCTATCCACGAGTGCGTTTACATGCACTCAATAATCCGATCATAATCAGATTTCTGCAGTTATCTGGTCATGAAATAGTAGACTCCAATTTCTTAGATCGGAGTAAGGTCTAGAAATCAGATAAAGAGAGCTTTTAGTTCAGTAGTTGGATTCCTCACTGCATGTGAACTCTTACTCTGATTTCTTTCGGTTTTCTCAGTCTGCACGTGTGCGAAAACAGACGGCAGTCCCGGAAAAACACAAGCAATATTGCCGAGAGACGGCAGCAAAACACTTTTGGAATGATGCTGAAACCAAATAAATGCTTGACGAAATGAAGGATTTAAATTTTCTTCTGGAAATCTTCTAGACGATGCATTGTTCTATTATAGTGCTTCGCCAAGGTTTTGGGTAATTTTTTAACATCTGTTCGTGGAGGAGTGGTACACACAGGGCAAGGTGAAATTTGTCGCCAAAGAAAACAGATTTCTTTCAGATTTACCACTTTTTTACCTTCATCAACATTATATATAAAAACTCAGAAGACTTGTGTACATTTTGGATAGTAAGTAAACAGCTGTATTTGCATTGTAGACATTGAAACCCCAATTTCACCTCACTCTCAATTACACTGTTTATCTCACACTGATTGAATTACACAGAAACTTTTAAATATTAGGTAGTATCCCCCTTTTAGCCACGCCTACTTTTGTCATTTTAAAGACGTATTGAATGAATTATAGTATGGGAATCGTGAAGTCAAGGTAGCAGTATTAGTATAAATAACTATACTCAGCCCTAGTAATAACAATGTAGTACCACTAACAGTATCTAGATTAACTGTATACACGTTCACAAAGACAAATGTCATGATCTCTTTTGATAGTTTAGTCATGAGTTAGTAATTTTTTTTGGGCAACTCTAGTTTTAATAGTGAAAAATCGAAAAAGATCACAAAAAAGCTTCACCTTAGAACCAGAACTACATTCAAAAATTAGAAAAGTAATGAAATTTGCTTTGCTTTTCGTTCTTCTGAACTCATTTCCTTTTTCTGGAAAAAGCACTATGTAAAATAAGGGAATTCAAAGGGAATTTATTCAGATGCAACTGACAAAATTGCCTTAATTAACCTTAATGAACTAAACCCATAAACAGTTGCTTACCTGAGTCAGTATATACAGTACATTTGAACACAAGTAGTAAGTATAAATGACTAATTTCACATGAACCGTTATATTCAAATATAATTTAGCCTTTGTTAGTGCATGCAAACACCACAGACACCCCAGCACCATCGCTCAGAGAAATCCGAAATAAAGAGCATTTGGAAGAGCGCGCTAACCGTCCAACTTGGCAAATATGACTGAGTGGCTGTTGTGATGCTTGGAAAGGAGGGGAAAGAGCAGGGCCCTGTTTAAACTCTTTTTATAACTCGCCCTTGCCCACTTTGACTCACCGCTTGGACGTGGGTCACACTTTCGTTACACAAGTGTCCCCTCGCTGCAGAAGGTAGTGAGGAGCAGATTATTTGCACTCGGCATGTTAGCTTTAGTGAGCTAATCACCTAGCTGTGCAAACCTTTCCCTGTAAAAAGTTTTTTGGGAAGTTTGAGCATAACATACATAACATTTGTGGGTTATTGCTGTGTCTGGCTATAAACCTGGTGCCTTTCCTTTTATTGTTGGTAGACTTGTAGCCTGCTAACTAGCCAGTTAGCTGAGCAATGTGATGAAGCTGTATCAAGTACAAGAGATGGAGGCTACGTTCACATTACCAGACTGAAGTGGCACAAATCAGATTTTTTGCCCTAATGTGACTCAGATCTGATGTTTTCAGGGCTGTGTGGACACAAATCTGATCTTTTCAAATCCGACCTGATCCACTTTCATATGTGGTCCTAGATCGGATACGTATCCGATTCGTGGCCTCGACACCTTAATGTGACGCTCAGATCCGAATTCATGTGCTTTTTCTCCACTGCGCGTGACCATCATTCAGCGTTACCATGGCAGCAGCGCTGAACAGAAGTTAAAGCCTGTAAACGGTGGAAAAGCAGCTCATCTCACCTTTTTCTCCTTCATCTCGCTCTAATAATGAAGCTGAGAGCTGATCAGTTAATTATCTTCTCAGCGAAGCTCGTTCTGCTCGTTAGTTTGTTTGCTGATGATGAACGTGATTCATTCACGTGACGTTACTGAGTAGGATGAGCTCATGAGGGTCATTTCAGGACGCCGGTTCATCACATTAATGACAGATTTGAGTCACTTACCTAAACAAGTGTGAACCATCGTGTCAGAGAGATCGGATTTGAGCAAAAAATCGGATTTGAGCAACGAGCCTTGTAACGTGAACGTAGCCTTAAAGCCTAGCAAATCGAATAATCAACATGCTATGTCTCAATCTGAATTATTTTGGGGTCAAACACCCTTCACTTGAGATAATAAAAAGTAACGGAATGGCCCTCCAGATGGCGCTGGAGAGTCCACTGAGGGGGACAAAGTTGAGAAAGGCTTGTTAAAACAGGTACTGAAACAGGCGACAGGATCTTTCCCTCCATATGAGGCAACAGCCGATTGTGTTCAACAGGACAGCAGGCTTTTCTGGTGAATAAACCGTATAAATATGCCTAATAAGAGTTCATCTTCCCTCTATTGACTGATATTCACGCATTTAACCAGTTTTTACATCAAACACCTTACATTCTTATTATTTTACATTTTAGTTGCCTGAAATACGAGTTCCCTTCATCATGATATTGCACACTATAACAGAAAAATAACGTTGTGTTTTCTGTTCTTACTCAGCAGCGTAAGATAAAACATAGTAAGATAATCTACTGCAGAAACATGATTTTAAGGTCTGCCTAAAAGTGTGGTTCAGTGCATGTGTGTGATGGTGTGTGTATGTAGGAGCCAATAAAGGAGACTGCGTGTGTGCATTGGGCACTGCAGTGTTCAGTAGTGCGGCTCACAGTCCTCCATCAGACTGTCTGTAATGTAGTTGATGTTCAGTAGCTGGTGGTAGTACTCCTTCTCCACGGCTGTGTTCACCGTCCACGCCACAACCTCCACACCGCGCTCTGCCCAGTACTGCACAATGTCCCTGCGAGAAAGAGAAAGTATGCATACAGAACACAGCACACTCAGATCTGAATTCCATACCATGGTGGACATTATGACAAGGGTGTGGAAGCAGATCCTCATGCCTTGATAAGTATGAGCCCAGGGACACTGAAGCACCCCTCACATTCAGGACGTTGTAATGTAAAATCTGGCTGAGCCTCGTTTCAAGCTGTTGTAAAATATCCTATGTACGCCATATCCTATGACCACCTCACAACAACTGAATTCTGCATTACTGGACACAGAAAACCCTTGTGGTGTTAATGGAACAACATTAGACTGTAATGCTCCTCGCATGGACCTCTGAGCGCACTGATGAAGTAAGAACCCAGATTTGTTGCAACTGAGGGGCTGGTTACTTATTTAAACTACAGGGAGATTCACTCGAAAGAGGCCCCGAATATTCTGTAATAACTCTCACTAGGATGAAGCAATCTGAATGAAACAACATGCAATGAGCTCCTCAGTATATGGAGCTTCAAACAAGCCGGGATGCCCCTGCGTCAGAGCGATGAGGTAGGCGCTGGACAGCCGTCGCGATGTTTAACCTCCGTTTACTTCTGGGTGTGTACCCCCATACTCCTTCATGTGTCTGGCAGAAAACGGAGATTACTTCCAGCATCACTTGTAATGCAATTGATTACACATACGTCATGGTATGTAGTGTATTTTTCTTGGTTCAGATTGTTTCATCTTAACGGGAGTTACAGCAGAATATCCGGGGCCTCTTTCGAGTGAATCTCCCTGTAGAATTACGCTGATCAGCTAGCTAACAGGATAAAAGATGGTAGGGGCAACTAAACATTATTCTCCTCTTTGAGCAGTCCATGGTTGCTTGGCAACAACATATTCCAAAGCAGTGGTGGGGAAATAAGGGCCAGAGTCCAACATAGTTTGGCAGTGTCCCTGCTCTAGCACACCAACTAAACCTGATAATTGGCTGATGTGTTGAATCAGATGTGTTTGACCATGGAAATCACCAAACTGTACAAGAGTTCCTAGCCCTGCTCAAAGAAACTACATTAGTTGGCGGATTACTAAAAATAACGTAAATTATTAACTTCTATGTGAGGTTTATCGTATTATATGTTCGCTGTTTTATGAATGCAGTAAGCCACATGAGGCTTTGCATTTTATCACAGGTAAGAGGGATTTACTCTGCTTCACATCGTGCCTAACAACACTGTAATGCACAGTGTCTTGTGGTTTATTGCTTTACTATATAAACGGATAACGGATGCGTTCAAAGCTGCTGTAAAATACACAATAAACACACACAACAACTGAATTCTGTATTACTGCGACACGAAAAAACCTTGTGCTGTTAATAGAATAATGATTGACTCATTCTGTTCGCATGGACCACTGAGTGAACTGATGAAGTAGGAACCCAGTTCTGTTTAAACTGAGGGGCTTACAGCTTATTTTCTGAACTAGAACTAGGCTGATCAGCTACCTAATAGGCTAAAATATAATAGGCTAAAAAACTCCATCATTAATATCACAGCCTTGAATTAACGTACTTACGATACGATTAACTGTATAAAAGTCTAAAAAAAATGTCACTTGAATGTCAGACACGCTTCAAATGTCTGTGTTTCAGTCAGAAGTCGCATCAAACCCAGACTGAATCCCAAAAGGCTCCGTACTCCCTAAATAGTGTGCTAACTATGAAAGTTTAGAAATTCTAGCCTCTACAGCCAAATAGTACATCATTTATCGAGTGTGGATGTGTCTGAGTCCCAAATGACTGTTTCTTAGCTGTATTTTGCTCTGTTGGGCTGCAGGGGTCAGTATTTCTATGTAGTGCACTATGTAGGGAGCAGGGAGCCGTCTGAGATTCAGCCCCAGCGTGAGAAGACTGGATTGGTGCTAAATAAGACTTGCGGAAGATTGGATTGGTGCTAAATAAGACTTGCGGTGGTAATTTGCTGACCAAAAAGTACTTATAAAGCGAAAGTTTTTTTTGTTGCATTAAACAGTGCTGTGATATTATATGTTCATTGTTATATGACAAAAACAAAAAGTTCATGAAATAACCGCAGTGTAGTGACTAAAGTTCTTCTCCTCATTCAGGGGACCACGGTTGCAACGATACCACATGCAATAGTAACTATATTTCTTGGCGGAATTCTTGTTTATGTTTATTATTAATAATGACTTAAAATATTTTCTGAAAAATTGTGTATTTCATCATATTTTATGTTGGCCGCCGTTTTATAAAAGCAATAAGCCACTTGAAGCCATGCGTTACTGCGATTTTGTCAATTAATTAACACATAATGTGTACTTGTTGTAGGGTGAAGTTTGTATTTATATTGAACACAGCCCATCAAATAACACGTTTTGTTAACACATCCTCCATAAGGAACAAACTATGGCATTATTCTGCAAATTTTAGTGCTTAGTTACTTTTTTATTTGGTAAGTTTAACATATTGTAAAAAAATATATAATAAAAGTTATAAAATGTGCATTTGCTTTTGCTTAGGCCACATTTTGTGTTTTAATTTTTCCCCCAAAATATTTAAATTCAGCAAATAAACAGTAATTGTGCATTAAAATTAGCAAAAGTGTGTTCTCTGTAATGGATGTGTATTCATTTTCACCATAAACAAAACATGCAACCTGACCAGAGGCACCCAAACATTTGCATACAACTGTGTGTAGTTTCAAAATCTGCATTGTTGTACTACATTCTTCCTGGTGGCTGAGGCAGTTGTGTACTTCTAAAGTTAGTTTAGCAGTTTTTGCTCATGATGCTTAAACTCAACTTGAAATCAAAGTTGAATCTTTTACCTGAGTTCATGTCTTTGGTCATATTAAGTACACTTCATCATGCCTAACATGCCTTCTGAGTTTTCTGTGATAAAATCATTGTTTCCATTAAAAATGAAGACTGCTGTGATGATATAGTGTCACAATAGTGACTCACGTGGAGATGTAGTTTTTCTGCAGCAGGAAAGCAGACACGCCGCACAGGTTCCACAGCAGGTGATGATGCGCCCAGTCCAGCAGCACATCCAGCACCTGCATCCACAGGTGTTTCCATGTCGACGTATAGCGAGGTGACCCGTCGCCAAAGCGACTCAAGCTCCAAGGGCGGTGCGTCAACGCTGTCACAACCTCTGGATCCGCCTGCCGCATCTGGATCATGAAAGACAGGCGAGACAGATTATCACCCTTCAACCTGGTACTGAGCATAGGCTGTTATTGTATGATATACTTTTAACTAGATTAAAGGTACGATAAGGAAACTTTTGTTCATGATGCATATTAAAGATACAGTAACTAAAACAATTTGTGGTTTTCAGTGAAAATATGATGAAAATAAAGCTCATTCAGCTTTTGTTCTCTACAATATGCTGGCCAATTGTCGGTTACATGCAGGGACAGTGGTGGCAATCCATGTTCTGCTCTCAGATACTACTATTGCAAGGTTAAATATCTTTTACAGACCAGAGAACAAAGGTAACCTCAAGAGAAATTATAGCACACACTTTTGGCAAAATACCTACAACCCCATTGCCAAAAAAATTGGGATGCTGTGCAAAATGTAAATAAAAACAAAATGCAATGATGTGCAAATCATTTAAACTCTATATTTAATTGAAAATAGTACAAAGACAACAAATCAAATGTTAAAACTGAGAAATTTTATTGTTTATGCTCATTTTGAATTTGATGCCAACAACACGTTCCAAAAAAGTTGGGACGGGGCAACAAAAGGTTGGTAAAGTTGTATAATGCTAAAAAAAAATTATGTAAAAATTATGTAATGCTGTCTTGGTAGTGTTTTCCTTATTTAACCTTTGTTTACATTCTGCACAGTGTCCCAACCTTTTTGGAAATGGGGTTGTACATTTAGAGTGTACTACTGATTTCAGTGGTTTTTACTGTGTGCTTGGGAAAGATCACTATGTTAGGATGGATTAAGTGTGTTTTTTGTGTAAGCAAGACACATGTAGCCTGGTAAAAAGATGTAAGCCATACCTTTATAGACACCCGTGTGCCATGTGCAACCTCAGTGTTGTAGCTCAATGCAACATTCTGTCATGCTTTCTGTTTTTTGCCATAATATCAGAACACATGAAAAAAAATTTCAACAAATCCCTTAAAATTACTAAAGAGAACAGCTACACTGGTAACCTAGCTGCTAACATTAAAACAGCTGAAGCTGGGGAACTTTCTGCTTATCCTATCAAACAGATGTTCACCCCTAAAAACCTTGACCTATCCTAACAGTGTGAACTTTGACATGCATACAAAATAAAAGTTGTTTATCAAGCGCAAGAGTGACTCTCCCTGTGGTAGGTTATTGTAAACCAGTTCGAGTGAAAGGCCCACCTAAATGACCAAACAGAATAGTTACCCTGTAGATGACTTTGGGTTCGAAGGAGCAGACCACACTGGAGTTGTAGAGCACTGGGTGCTTCTGATACAGCTTCTTCAGAGCTGCCGCTGCCTGGACAGAGAAAGACAGCAACAGTCAATTCTATGTATTTCCTCTGAGCATGAACATGGTTGAGCCACGTAGTAGCCATTTACGTAACAACCCTGGAAAAGTAGAATTTGGTTAATGAGAAAGTGTAAAGTAGATCCAGAGATAGTAACAGCAGATAAATACTGAGTCCCTTTATCTAGTAGAGATATGCAGCAGAGCCCTGCTGATGATGTTACCTCATCTGCATGACCTTTGACATCGAAGTAGATGGTCAGCTGGTGTTTGATGCATTCCTCCACAGCCTCCTGCAGAGTCGGGACCTTCTCTCCTCGGAAACGGTCACTACAGACAACCAACAAAAATACACTCATTGCTGGCTTCAGTGGCCATCAGTACCTTGCTGAGGTTCGACAGTGGGTGTCTATCATTACAAGTACAACCCCTTTGGGTGCAAAAATATAAATAAAAACAGAGTGCAATGATGTGCAAAACATTTAAGCCCTATATTTAATTGAACATAGTGCAAAGACAAAATATTAAATGTTTAAACTCAAATTTGTTTGTTTTTTGAGGAATAGTATTTGAGAATAGTGTGTGTATTAAAAACAGCATTAAAATCACTGAATGGGCTCAGGAACACTTGTCTGTGAACACAGTTCATCACTGCATCCACAAATGCAAGCTATAACCATGCAAAGAAGAAACCATATTTAAACAGGATCCAGAAACGCCTCCACCTTCTCTGGGCCTGAGCTCATTTAAGATGGACTGAGTTGAAGTGGAAAAGTATCCTGTGGTCCGACAAATCAAAATTTGAAATTCTTTTTGTAAATCATAGACACAGCGTCCTCCGGGCTAAACAGGAGAGGGACAACCTGGCTTGTCATAAGCGTGAGTTCAAGAGCCAGCATCCATGACGGTATGGGGGTACATTAGTGCACAAGTAATGGGTGACTTGCGGCACCTTTATGAAGCCACCATTAATGCCGAACGATATGTACAAGTTTTGGAGCAACACGTGCTGCCATCCAGACAACGTCTTTTTCAGGAAGGCCTTGCTTATTTCAGCAAGACAATGCCAAACCACATTCTTCACGTGTTACAACAGCATGGCTCTGTAGTAAAAGAGCCTGAGTGCTAAACTGGCCTGCCTACAGCCCAGACCGGTCACCTATTGAAAACATTTGGCACAGAATGAAATGAAAAGTACGACAAAGGAGACCCCAAACAAGCTGAAATCCTATATCAAGTTAGAAAACACCGTTCCGTCTGTTTCTCTCTGATGTTTTACCTCAGTCTATGTTTGGCTGCCGCATCCAGTTTGTTGATCTCTGAGAAGCACAGTTCGCTGAGTGGTCCCGATCCGTTGGTAGTACGGTCCACTGTTTCATCGTGCATTAGAATAGGAATGCCATCAGCGGTGAATTCCAGATCCAGCTCCACTCCTGTGGCTCCATTTGCGCTGGCCTGTGAGAAGAGATGCATGTAAACTACTACACAAAGCTGTGATTAATCACATGCATACTTTTAACAAGAGCAATGGAGATGCCTCTTGTGCAAACAGAGGAGGAACTGGTTACTGGTGATTGACCAACTATTTCCACCAGTTGGCACGTCTAAACTTATTTTCCTTGCAATAGATCTGTGAAGGATACAGAAAGTATAAAAATGTTCTACCATACCGAACATATAGGTCCGAAAATGTGTCACTACAAAATGTGAAATGCCATTACTAATGACTGTCACGCGCATGAAAACATGGGATCAGTTTTTAGGATAGAGCCTTACGGCAAAATTAGTCATGAAGAACATTGAGGAATGATTACTGAAAAACCTATCAGGTCTGTAGGGTGCAGCCCAATCTCCGTCTGGAAAAAAGGCCCCTTTTCAGTGAAACAGACGTGCAGAAATGGGGTAGAAACTAGTTACATTCAGTTCTATACACTTTATACTAGTTACATTCAGTTCAATTAAGTCAAGGCCACCACTTAGTAGGGTGTGGGAACAAGATTATGCCTTACTAAGTTGTGGCTACACATTAGGATCTCATTCCCATGCCTTACTAAGTCATGGCCACGCATTAGGATCTCATTCCGATGCCTTACTAAATCGTGGCCACACATAAGGATCTCGTTCCCATGCCTTACTAAGTCGTGGCCACGCATTAGGATCTCATTCCCATGCCTTACTAAGTCGTGGCCACGCATTAGGACCTCGTTCCCATGCCTTACTAAGTCGTGGCCATGCATTAGGATCTTGTTCCCACGCATTAGGATCTCATTCCTATGCTTTACTTAGTTGTGGCCATGCATAAGGATCTCATTCCCATGCCTTACTAAGTCATGGCCACACATTAGGATCTCGTTCCTACGCCTTACTAAGTCGTGGCCATGCATTAGGATCTCATTCCCATGCCTTACTAACTCATGGCCATGCATTAGGATCTTATTCCCACGCTTTACTTAGTCGTGGCCACGCATTAGGATCTCGTTTCCATGCCTTACTAAGTCGTGGCCACGCATAAGGATCTCATTCCCATGCCTTACTAAGTCGTGGCCACACATTAGTAGTGGCAAACATACCTACTCGCCTCCTCGAGAAGTGCCACAATAGTTTGGTCCAGTTTAGAGATTAGACCCACTTCTGATGACGTATCTTGAAGGTGAAGAGAAACTACAAGTGCTTTGGAGTGGAAACAGGAGGACGGCGTGTATGATTTTTTCTCAGAAACTGGGGGAAATCAAAAGGCTAAACTTGCAATGAGGAACCCGGATATCATGCCTCTATTCATTAATGGTTTTATGACTTGCTTGTGTAATGCATGCTGGGTATTGTAGTGAGAGGAATCGCACGAAGGAAACAAAATTGTGAATTCTGCCAAACCGACGAGGCTGAGGGACGCAAGACTGTGTTACAGAATATATCGTAACACGGCTGATAACATAGTGAATGCTAGTTTTAGGCCAGAATTCCCCTTTAAGTTTAATTAGTGTTTTCAAATGTTTCAAATAACATGTTTAGTGCTTCTCGAGTATTTGTGTGAGGCGCCGACTTCTCCTCAGTTCCTTTCAGTCATTCACATTCAGTTCATCATTCCTTTCTTTTGGTAAATGTTGATTCAGCAGCTGGACTGCTTTGCTGTTGCTCACACTTCTCACTTTCAAGCTTTGAGATCTTAGTTAAGACCAAAAAGATCCCAAAAAAGTGAAAAAATGGAACCAAGCAGACTTAAAGGAGAAGTTCACCAATTTTTCAAAAAATTGTACATAATTAAAGAGTTGAGGTGCAAAGACATTCAGAGCGGTTTGGTGTGAAAAGCTCCGTTCTAGAGAAACTTAGTCAGGATTGTTCACAGTGGTTTTGATAGGAACCAGGCATCCACCTCTAAAAGCTCCCTCACAGAAAGTTATACATGAAATGGTTATGAATTCACTGCCTGATGTCTGAAACATTGTTTTATTATAGTTTTGTGAAAAAAAAATTGGCTTAAAATGTATTTAAATCCAGTCATGGAAGTGTTCACAGTGGTGGTGATAGGAACCAGACGTCCACCTCTCACAGACGGCTAATACATGAAATGGTTATGAATACACCCTGGCTGATGTCGGAGACATTGTTTTATGATAGTTTTGTGAGGTTTTGGCTTCAAATGTATTTTAATCCATTCATAGTGGTGGAGGGATAAATGAAGGATGTAAAAATGAAGGAGGCAAAATAGTCCCCAAAGAAAACTTAATTCTGTCATGATTTATGACCATTTTACCATCATCAACATTACATATATATCATGTGTAGATTCACTGGTGGTTTTGGATGGTAAATAAATGCCTATATTTGTATTGTAGACATTGTGACCCCTGGTTCTCCACAAAAGAACCATTTCACACCAAACCACTCTGTTTACATCTCAAGCACTTCATTATTCAGAATTTGTGCAAAATGGGTGGATTTCCCCTTTAAGTCCCTATGCTGATTGAACTTGACTGAGCTGTGTTTGGACTCCTATAGCTAATTTACTTACTTTCACTCTTTTTCTTCTACTTGAGAGATTATTTGACTGAATTAACAACTCCTGAGTGTGGTTTTATCCTGCATTACCCACCTCTGGATTGGGAGCATTACATTAGAGAACTTACTGCTCGAATAGCTGCTATCGTGTTCTCCGGTGCGTCGTGTCCACCGCCGCGGTGAGCCACCACCGACACGCCGCCGGAGGCGAGTCTGGAGCCCGGCCGCAGGACCTGCTTCGCCCGGCTGGCCGGAACCTGCGGGAATCGGAAGAGCACCACAAAAAGGTAGAGGGAGGCCGTGAGAGCCGTGGACCACACGGCGCTCCTGGTTCCCAGCAAGACCAGCAGGAAGACGGCCGAGAAGCAAGTAAGTCCGTCCCCCAACTGCAGCATAGTGTAAACGGACAACCTTGACAAAAACAACGACTGTTCTGAGGTAAAATAACGACCGTTAGCGTTTCAGCTGCGCTCCATTCATTCCCCTCTAAAACAACAGCCGCTGTTGCTATGGTGGCAAAAGCAGACGAGCTCTCGGCTCAGTCGGTCGGTCGGACGTTTTATATCCTATTATAAAGCCACAGCAGCGAAACACCGGCGTTTAGAGTTCCTGCTGGACTCTGACTTGCGAGCGAAACCGCAGTAAAATTGGCAAAGAGCCCATTTCAGGACCTGTCCTGTCAAAATCAGGTCACATGACGTCCGTAGCGCTGGAGAAGGACGTGTATTATCATATGGTGGTGAAGAGCGTTACCACAACACTTACATACGCAAGACAGAGTCCACTATCTGCGGCTTTGTGGGTGCGTCGTAATAATGCGAGGGGACGAATGGCAGGACGGATTTTCGCTGAGCCTCAAGTAATTTTACCAGAAAATTACTTTACTGTACTTCTTTTTACCGCCTTTACTTTAAAGTAACTTTAAAGAAAGATTCAATTCCACGTCAGTCAACATATTTTCACTGGTTACAAACAAAAAATACAAGCTGTTGGAAACTGATGGACTAAGTGACGCCATAGAAGGAAAAGTGACCCGATGGGTCAATTTGTATATTATCATAGTCATATTTAAGCCTATGGGAGATATTTTTAGTAAATCGGTACCAAAATGTTTTTTTTTATATGTAAGCGCTTTTCTAAATTCAAGAATGTGCTATTTGATAAAAAAGGGGACTCTTATTTTGAAGAACAACCTCGTACTTCACAGGCTAGCGTTAGCGGTTACGGTCAGTGTGCAGACCTGAGCTGAAATGGTGAGAGATTTGTGGAAATATAAATAGTATTGATGCTTATTATACGTTTTTATGATATAGAAATAAGCAGCATATATTGTCCGCGTGGTACCTAAGCGGAAAAACGTACAAATGTCTTAAATGAGTTAGCTGTGTAGGCTAGCAGAGCTGTAGTTACGGTTACCGTTCAGATGTAAGGTCAGTGAGATTAAGATTAACAGAGACATACAGTGCAGCTTTACACTTTGGTATTAGTGGCAGTGTTTTCATGGATGTTAGCTGAAGGGGAATTCCACCGACTTTTAGACATTTCTGCATAATTGTTGACATGTAAACAAACTCATTCAGAGTGGTTTGGTATGAAATGGTGCATTGTTTAGCAATTTATTTACAGACTTTGATTTCTTTACAGTGGTGGTGATAGGAACCAGGGGTCACCATGTCTACAAAGCATATATACACACTGCATTTACTATCTAAAACAACCAGTGAGTTTTTATATATGATGGTAAATGTAGCTGTAGCACAAACAATAGCATACATTTAAATAAATAAATAAATACTATTATCTGTATGAGTTTGGCTACCAACCAGCATGCAATAATATTTTTTTTTGTAAAGTTTGCCTTTGTGAAGAAAGCAGGAATATACACCGATCAGGCATAACTTTATGACCACCTCCTTGTTTCTATGCTCGTTGTCCATTTTATCAGCTCCACTTACTATATAGGAGCACTTTGTAGTTCTACAGTTACAGACTGTAGTCCATCTGTTTCTCTGCATACTTTGTTAGCCCCCTTTTACCCTGTTCTTCAGTGGTCAGGACCCCCATGGACCCTCACAGAGCAGGTACTATTTGGGTGGTGGATCATTCTCAGCACTGCAGTAACACAGATATGGTGGTGGTGTGTTAGTGTGTGTTGCGCTGGTCTGAGTGGATCAGACACAGCAGTGCTGCTGGAGTTTTTAAACACCTCAGTGTCACTGCTGGACTGAGAATAGTCCACCAACCAAAAATACCCAGCCAACAGCGTCCTGTGGGCAGCGTCCTGTGACCACTGATGAAGGACTAGAGGATGACCAACACAAACTGTGCAGCAGCAGATGAGCTATCGTCTCTGACTTTACATCTCCAAGGTGGACTGACAAGGTAGGAGTGTCTAATAGAGTGGATAGTGAGTGGACACAGTGTTTAAAAACTCCAGCAGCACTGCTGTGTCTGATCCACTCAGACCAGCGCAACACACACTAACACACCACCACCACGTCAGTGTTACTGCAGTGCTGAGAATGATCCACCACCCAAACAGTACCAGCTCTGTGAGGGTCCATGGAGGTCCTGACCACTGAAGAACAGGGTAAAAGGGGGCTAACAAAGTATGCAGAGAAACAGATGGACTACAGTCTGTAACTGTAGAACTATCTTCTATAAGACAAACACATAAGCAGAAGTTGTTGTTGCCATATGCATCATAATATTTTATTATAGTTGAACAGGCTTAGTGATGCTCTTTGTAACGAAACATGCAGTTCAGTGTTCTTTAAGTACTGACTGTATTCAGTGTGCTCAGAAAAGCAGATTGTGATGTAATGTGATGTAGCATATCATGAAAATTATGTCATATTTCGCACCCCTTGTAAATGGTATTGTCTCATTACAGCTGAGGCCACCACGTTTGATCCACCTGACCTTGTCCTTAGCAGCTTCTGGACGCCGATGTCACCATCCACCCCAGAGTATCCGCCAGCTCCTCTTCTCTTGCACACAGGCAAGGACAAAATGTGTGAGTCGGACAGCTTCCGTCACACTAAAGCACACTTCACTCTGCTTTCCACAGTATCAGGCTCTTGCGGCCTGTTCTGATCTCGCCTCGCAGGAATACTCGTTAATCTATGCCTTCCCAGCCATCAGAGGACTGCGGGCGCTCTCCAGACTCAAGCTCCTACAAACAGGGGTCACCGCCGCTCTCCTGCCCACCGTGTATTACTTCTACCTACAAGGACAGGCGTCCGTCACTCTTCTGACCTACACCACAGGCATAGCTGCATTCGCAGCCGTTATGCTCTACACCATAAGCCACTACATCAGGCGAGTGGTGGGGATGATGTACCTGGACTCGACCCAAAGCACCTTAAAAGTGTCCCATCTCTCTTTCTGGGGACACAGGAGGGACGTGTACCTGCCTGTGTCGGACGTCATGACGCTGGGAGATACGGGCGACTCTCCTGGTGAACCCATCCTACGGCTGAAGCGATACAGCTGCTCCGACACACTGTATTACTTCCCCAGGCTGGGACGGGTGGTCGACAGACATGGCTTTGAGAAAGTGTTCGGGACTTTGACACGATAGGCGTGTGCGTCATTGACCTGTAACCCTTTAAATTATGTCTGATGTATTAATTATTTGCTGTTTAAAAACAGATAAAGTTGCCAAAAAAGTTTCACACACAGCTGTTCTGGTGTATTTTATATTCTTCAGAAGGTTCTTTAGTATTGACCAGATTAATCTCCCCCAAAAAACTTGGGGGGAAAAGTCTGAAAGCTGAATTTTACTCACTTTTGTTTAAATAAAAGTTTCATGTGGTATTTAAATATTACTTAAGTGTCAAAACATACCATTCACTCCCCCGTCCACATATTCATTACATATTTCAAAACTGCCATCAAAAACTCTTAAGTACAATGATTTTTTTATTTAATATTTTACATAATGCACTGCACATAATCCATTTAAACAAGGCTAATTAAGTTACTCAGTGTTCTTTAGGTACAGACGATATCCACGACATGCTCAGAAAAGCATACAATCACGAAAACAATAAAATGTTGTATTGCCACCCCTTCATGCCAACCTCTCCCCAGAGTCCTCTAGATGCTAGCCAATGCAGGCGCCTGTTAGCTAATGTTACAGAATTGGCAGTTAGTGCTCTCCTCCAAGCGTGTTGAATCCAATGATGTTGTATTAGCAGCAGTTTAAAACAATTAGGTGGTGCTTTTTATGTGTGTCTTAGAGCGTGTTCGCTTTTACGCTTGGTAGCATCGTCTGTTGGGGGCAACCTCACTAGGGGATGGAATTGGTCACAAAATTGGGGAGAAAATTGGGAAATCTGAAAAAAAAAACGAAGCTTCAAGATGAGGAGAGAAGCACACCTCTGACAAAAAACGTCTTGGTTCATTACCTACTTTCGAGGTAAGAATGAAATTGTACTAATTTAATTAAGGAACAAGCAAAAAAGCTTCAGCTTCCAGCTAATCTGTAAATTACTCAGCTCGTCTAATTGGTTTGGTTGTATTCAGAGAGACGTCTCAGGTAACAAGGCTATTAAACTGGGCCAGGAGGTTGACGGTTGACAAAACCTCACCTTTTACTGGTCACAAAACTCTCCACTGAATTTGAGGGATACGCATGTTTGCCAACAATATTGGGAGAAAATGATGACTATCTTGTGCTCTCAAGATAAAGCTGCTGTGAGATAATGAGTTAATTATCTTGTTATTTCAAGTTGTCTTGAGATAACAAGTTAATTATTTTGTGATCTCAAGATAAAGTAGTTATCTTGAGATAATAAGTTAATTATCTTGTTATCTTGGGATGACAAAAGTTGTTATCTTGTGAAGATAACATGTTAACTCTTGTTCTCTTGAGATAACAAATTAACTATCTTGTGCCCTTAAGGTAAAGTTGTGAGATAATGAGTTAATTATCTTGTTATTTCAAGTTGTCTTGAGAAGTTAATTATCTTGTGACCTCAAGATAAAGTTGTTATCTTGAGATAAGTTAATTATCTTATTATCTTAGGATAACAAAAGTTGTTATCTTGGGATGACAAAATATGTTATCTTGTAAAGATAACATGTTAACTCATTCTTTTGAGATAACAAGTTAACTATCTTGTGCTCTTAAGATAAAGTTGTTGTGAGATAATGAGTTATCTTGTTATTTCAAGTTGTCTTGAGATAAGTTAATTATCTTGTGATCAAGAAAAAATTGTTATCTTGAGATAACAAGTTATCTTGTTATCTTGGGATGACAAAAGTTATCTTGTGAAGATAACATAACTGCCTTGTTCTCTAGTTAACTATCTTGTGCTCTCAAGATAAAGTTGTTGCGAGACAAAGAGTTAATTATTTTGTTATCTCGGGATATCAAAAGTTGTTATCTTGATATAAGCAGTTATCTTGTCAAGATACATTAACTTTCTTGTTCTCTTGAGATAACAAGTTAGCTATTTTGTGCTTTCAATATAAATTTGTTGTGAGATAAGTTATCTTGTTAGTTCAAGATAAAGTTGTGTCTTGATATAATGAGTTAAGTATCTTGTGATCTCTAGATAAAGTTGTTATCTTGAGGTAACAAGTTATCTTGTTATCTTTAGATAACGGAAGTTGTAATCTTGAGAAAATGAGTTTTCCAGCCCAACACAGGAATTCCAGGCTTATGTTAGCTTAGCTTGGGTAACCATTGACTTATGGTTAGCTCAGCTGTAGTAACCACAAATAAAGAATGAGATACACTCTTTACGCAGTTTAACACAGAGATTAATTGCATTGAATATTTTGTGCAAACCTGCGTATAAATATGACATTATAGCAGAAAAGTACCCAACACAGCAGGAGTAGACACAGGAGCTGTGGTGTGCAGCACGTAGAGTGCAGACAGAACAGCTACTATATAGTTTTGAACAACACAAAGCTCAGTTTCTGAAAGAGAAGACGGTCACGCCCACCGTCCGGGACAGAACCAGATAACCCTGTTTCATATTATTTCCTTTCTTGTGTAAAATTAGCGCCTGGAATTACAAAGCCTGTGTGAAGAGGAGAGCGAAGAGCCATCTGGTGGCTTCTTTTTGGACTTACAGCATTCAGTCCATCCTGCGGTGTTACAGCTAAACAGCCTCCCTCTGACCGTTTCTCCCTTTTCCTTCTATACACTCTTCTCCCACATCGCACCACACGCACATTTGCTGAAACGAAACTTGTGCAAAAGTCCAGAGAGGCTATGAGGTAGTTACAGTTTTCTGAATTGTTATCTTGAGATAATGAGTTAACTAACTTGTGCTCTCAAGATAACAAAGTTGTTGTTGTGAGATAATTATTTTGCTTTTTCAAAATATAGTTGTTGCCTTGAGAGAATGAGCTAATTATCTTGTGATCTCAAGATTAAGTTATGTTGAGGTAACAAGTTAACTATCTTGTTATCTTTAGACAACAGAAGTTGTAATCTTGAGATAACAAGTTATCTTGCTAAGATTACAAGTTAACTATCTTATGCCCCCAAGATAAAATTGTTGCGAGATAAGTTAATTATCTTGTTATTTCAAAATAGAGTTGTTGTCTTGAGAAAACGAGTTAATTGTCGGGCGATCTCAAGATATCAAATTTGTTATCTTGAGATAATGAGTTAATTATCTTGTTATCAAGATAGTTATCTTAAAGTAACAAGTTAATTATCTTGTTATCTCAAGATAACAAAAGTTGTTACCTTGAGATAACATTATCTTTTTAAGATAAGTTAACTGTCATGTGTTCTTTAGATAAAAAGATAACTAACTCAAGATAATAAAATTATTGTGAGATAATGAGTTAATTATCTTGTTATTTCAAGTTGTCTTGAGTTAACAAGTTAATTATCTTGTGATCTCAAGATAAAGTTATCTTGAGATAATGAGTTATCTTGTTATCTTGGGATAAAAAAATTATCCTGTTAAGATAACAAGTTAACTGTCTTGTTCTCTTGAGATAACAAGTTAACTATTTTGTGCTTTCAAGATAACAAATTTGTTGTTAACGATTTTGTTAGTTCAAGATAAAGTTGTTGTCTTGATATAACGAGTTAATTATCTTGTGACCTCAAGATAAAGTTGTTATCTTGAAATCACAAGATAATTAACTTGTTATCTCAAGGTAACAATCCAGAAAATGACAGCAACAGTTCATGGCCTCTCCAGACTTCCGTAAAAACTTGGGACCTTTTTAATACTTTTTTAAAAAATGCCCTCACAAACTTAGACTGGCCACTCGAAAGTGAATCACACCTACGTTGCTACTCATGGCAGAAGAAGAGGAGGTAACAGTGACCACCATATTTTACACTGGAATGCCCTCACCCTTGGCTACACACTTAAGTTACACACTCCAGCTGCACTGCTGTGTCTGATCCACTCGTACCAGCACAACACACACTAACACACCACCACCACGTCAGTGTTACTGCAGTGCTGAGAATGATCCACCACCCAAATAGTACCTGCTCTGTGAGGGTCCACGGGGGTCCTGACCACTGAAGAACAGGGTAAAAGGGGGCTAACAAAGTATCAGAGAAACAGATGGACTACAGTCTGTAACTGTAGAACTACAAAGTGCACCTATATAGTAAGTGGAGCTGATAAAATGGACAATGAGTGTAGAAACGAGTCATAATGTTATACCTGATCGGTGTGTAGCCCAGCAAATCGAATATTATTGTTTTAAAATATTAAACATTTTGAAGTAATTTACTGATGTAGCTTAAAAACAACTCGGAAATGTGTCAAATCCCAATGATTTCTGGGCAAATTCTGCTTCTGAAGTTGATGTCTGCGTTCACACTGTCCCTCACCCTTCCAAGGGCTAAGCTAACACACTTCACTTGAGCTAATTAATAAAGCAGGGGTCACCAATCTTATTGGGCAGCAGGTTTTCACTTTCACTCCTCATCTACCAGAGTCGAAACGGAGAGATCCTTTTAAGGCATTTGCTACAGGCTTATGTTCCAGTTGGTCGAAACCGCTCTATGGTAATCACATGAGGTACCAAGCAGCCAATCCGGTGACAGCAGCGATCCATGTTGCCAGCAGCACTTGACCAGTAGTATGACTGAGCAGCGTCTTGACTAACTGACGCACATACGTCGCGTTCCCGCTAACCGCTGGATAAACACAAAAAGGACACTTTTAGTTACAGCAATCAAACAAACAACTAATATACACCACTGACAGATTTGAGCATGTTCTACTGTGATGATTCATAGTCTTGCTGTTAAAGGACTGCAAAGATAATTGCGTTGAACAATGGACAGGTTTAATATTTGGCCCAAAATGCTAATGCGGCTAACAATGAATAAACACTGACTAGCATGGCTGAGTTTGCAGAATGCTAAAGACTATCACTGAGTGTGTTTACAAGCACTTAATAATCTAATAACTGCAGAAAATCAGATTTTGTCAGTAATCCGATCAATACGTTTAAATGCACTTGAGTAATCAGATAATGGGAAACTCCAGGTCTACATGAGTCAGACAGTGATCGGATTTGACGTGACGTAAACGTTACGTGATACTCAAAATTCATGCCACGTTTTTTTTTAAAAAACATTGCGTTACTTTACCTGAAAATATGAGCACACATCAAGTAGAAGATTAAGAATATTCAAATCCTTCATTTCATCAAGCATGCATTCGGTTTCAGCGTCGCTCCAAAAGTGTTTTGCCGCGTCTCGCAGCAACACTTCTGCTTATTTCTGGTATCGCTGCCTGTTTTTCGCACATGCGCATGATTGAGAAATGCGAAAGAAATCAGAGTAAGGGTACACATGCACTGAGAAACCTGATTACTGAACTAAAATCTCTTTCTTCATCGGATTTCTTAATGGATTTCTAGGCCTTACTCTGATCTAAGAAATCAGAGTATGCTGTTTACACAACCATTTGAATAATCAGATAACTGCAGAAATCTGATTATGATCGGATTATTGACTGCATGTAAACACACTCACTGATTATTATGAGCACTAGCATTAATGGAAAAAAATGAAGCAACACAAAGTGGCAAAACTGTTGTTTTTTTTCCTGCTGGAGTTTTTAAACACCTCAGTGTCACTGCTGGACTGAGAATAGTCCACCAACCAAAAACATCCAGCCAACAGTGTCCTGTGGGCAGCGTCCTGTGACCACTGATGAAGGACTAGAGGATGACCAACACAAACTGTGCAGCAGCAGATGAGCTATGGTCTCTGACTTTACATCTACAAGGTGGACTGACAACGCAGGAGTGTCTAATAGAGTGGACAGTGAGTGGACCCAGTGTTTAAAAACTCCAGCAGCACTGCTGTCTGATCCACTCGTACCAGCACAACACACACAAACACACTTTTTCACTCACCCATCTTAGCAGCGTAGTACGGACATTTGCTAATGTCTCCTCCCATATCACCATGAGCTGGGAAGCCGATGTCTTGCACCTCCTCTTTAATACCTTTCCCAATCTCCTGCAGCTCCTCAAACACCTGTTGAAATATCAGTAAGGACCAACAAACCAACATCATCAAAGAGACAGAGAGAGTTAAAACAGTAGTACGAGCCATCTTGAGGCCTGAACGTAGTCCACATGCATGTTTATAGATAACAGTATGTCACACGGTGTAAGAGACCACATGAGCACATCTATTTGAGGTTACTTGAAAACTCAATGCAGTTTGAGGCAAGTTTGTGATGACTTAGGCATGTGGTTAGCACAATGCTAATTAGTGTACACACACTTCCACCACTTGTTAACTACATTTGCCTCTTAGCTCTGACCCAAGACTAAAGAAACAAACTTTGGACACCAAACATGTCTCGGCTGATCGACTGCATATGTGGTAAAGACTAAAGTTATTTATTAACTGCCTGTTTACAAAATTCTGATAAGTCACACCTCCCTTAGTTATCATTGCTACATCAGTAAACTTTTAGCTCAGGCTACCTGATAGCAAGTGCTAACAAGTCTTTTAGACATAGATACACATACCTAGATGCTGCGTTGGGTCCAGCCGGTCACGCCAACGGCGCCGCCATTTTGGGGAGGTCAACATCACTGCTGGACTGCATTCAGTACCATTACAGAGCAGCAGTTTAAGAAAGATTCTGTCCAAAATTACACTATTTAAAGAATATTACACTTAGAAAGTGGGATAGGATTATATAATGGAGGGAACGCAGCGATCCACACTCATGTCTGTGTGATGTGTATTGTTTGTGTGATGTTTATGTAGATATGGCCGTGTGGTTGGTGAAGCACAGAGAACCTGTTGATGTGATTGTTTTTCCTCTGGTTTTATATTAAGCTTATTTCATTTAATAGTCTATTCAGGGGGTCTTAACTTTATGCAGTAGATATTTATTTACAGTGATGGTTAAAGCTGTGTAGCTGGGTAAGTTACAGCATTCCTTAATCCGTGTAGATATTCATAATAGATTAACATTAGCACCTTACACGAAGCTGAAATCAGCTTCTTATTTGCCAGCTTCTTGTTCAAATTTCCACCTTAAATGATGCATCGGCCAGCATCTTGTTCAAATTTTCTGGTTCCACCTTAAATGGTGCAGCTTCACGCACCAGAAAGTGACTGCTACACCATTTAAGGTGGAACGGGAAAATTCGAAGAAGAAGCTGGCGGATAGGAAGCCAAACTTCGTCCTTCTTACTGTGTTTTGGGGGGTTTATTTTATTTTTATGTGTATTAAGATTAGAAGTGATTCCCACATTGATGGATCTGCTGATGTGTGTGAGTTTGTGTTTTTACTTGCGCTAAACTCGGTTTTTAACGTCAGGTGCAGACTGAATACTTTCCTACTGGTCTGGACGGCTAATTATCACGATCAGTTATTAAAGTAATAAAAGCTAATAAAAGGCGGACGCACAGACGTATCGCCTCAAACAGAGAACAACAGACAACGCAGCATCTAGGAGTGTATATCTATGCTTTTGAACTAAAGTTTTGACTAATTTACTGCTAAAGCCATTGTACACTGCTGGATTATACTGAGTTCTGTGGAGTTTTTCCTTCACTGGATGGAGGACATACCGCTTAGAGATGGCTGTGATTGGCTGGGAGGCGTGTAAATCATACTTTTGCTAACGGTCAATTGTGTTAAACAATGGATAGGATTAAAATAACTGATTAGCATGGCTGTACGATGCCATTCTTAAGTCTATATAATGCTAAACAACCCTTACTCACTATCAGAAACGTCAGCATTATTGAATGAATTGGATTGAATACTGCACTGAATTCAAATAGCATCAATAAAGTTTAAATAAGGCACCCAATGCTTCCCCACCTCCAGATTGAATTTGAAGGCCAGGTTGGCCTCGGCCACCAGCCTCTCCTTGGTCTCAGCGTCCACCTCCAGTTCATTCAAGCGGCTGCGGTAGAGCCTCTTGAAGGCTGCAGGCTTGTGGATGGCCTCGAAGTGGTAAAAGTGGATGCCCTCTCCAGTTGGCGGCAGTTTCAGGGCTCGCTGAGCCACTTTCTTCAGTATCTGCCCCCCAGATAGGTCCCCCATGTAGCGGGTCCAGGAGTGGGCCACTAGTAGATCTGGCTCATGCTGACCCACATGGTGAATGCGCTCCACGTAGGGCCTCGTGGCTGCCGAACAGCTGATCAAGTTCTTCCAGTCTGATCCGTACAGATACTCCAGGTCCTTGGCCAAAGCTTCTTGTCTGTGCAGCTCAGAGGGGAAATACACTGGCACAAACATGGGGTGGTCCTTGTTTCTCTCTATTTCTTCCTCAAGAGCTGAGTAGACGTAGTAGAGTGCAGCTGTGCCCAGCTGCAAGAGAGTTAACAGGATATTAGACATGCAAACGTTGCACATCTATTTAGGATTAATAAGATTTTCAATTCAGAAAACAAGACTTGATTCAGGTTTTTAATATTTTATATGTTAAAAATATCTTGATCTTATACCAAAGAGGAACCTAAAAATATAGAAAGGTGTTTTATATTTCGGTACATGGTTTTGAAGTATGCTTTAATTGTTTCACCTTTAATTGTTATACGTAACCAGTCAGTGATTAGTGTCAGAGGTGACGAACAATGACAATTAGTGCCAGGACACCTCTACGAAAATGCTATTTTCTGCTAGCTTCCCTATGGGACTCTAGTAGTATGTTAGTGCTAGGCTAAAAGCGATTCAGATGAACATTTTGTCTATATTAAACATGGACATTTGAAACTTGTAAAAAGCAATCCGTCTTTTATTTCAAGCTTCTAACAGCCATATTAACGTATTGCTGCTGTCGAAAAAAACTTGAGTCTTTCTTTTTTTAACATAATTTGAAAATGCCTGTTGCTTACATTGTGTGTAAATTTCATGATGAATGGACTAAAAGAAACGGCCCAAAATGACTTGGAAAAAGTCTGGTTCCATTGACTTACATTAAAAGTAAAGTAGGTTTTTTCCTTCTCCTGTAAAGATACCATTTTGGAGATACGAGATTCCAACAACAGCGATATATTTTAGCAGTTTTACAGTAAACAATAAAAAGCCCTGATGGATCTGTTGCTGTTATCAAGGTCAAACAACTAACTGAAAAACAATGGTCAAGGCTACCACTTGTATTGACAGTCAGTGATGTATCTAGAACTTACAGAAGGCCTAGAGTGATATGCTTTCTTGCAAAACTAGTCACACACTGTAAATGTAAAAAGTGATCAGTTAATCCCACTGTGGTTAATCTGACACCTTCAGTCCAGCTCCCGAAGTCCTAACCAATGGGAGAGCTCGGTTGGCTGTATCTACTTCGATACTGCAGAAGAAAATCCTGATTTGACAGTTTCTTTTGGCCATTTCAAGAGTTTGACTCTTCTGTTTTTAACCAAAAGTTAACAATGAAATAAGAGAATTACTACTGTACTTGCAGAGTTTAATCATAACAAGCCTAGAAGGTCCTGAGAGTGACTCACTGAATCAACGTGATGTGCTATCAACAGTAAGAGTGCTCTGATTACAGACCTTAAAGAGTTCCCTCTTTATTCTTCCTCTGAGGAAGTCTTTGGCAAAAGGAGAGTTTTCTGCTCTGTCATGAGCCTTCTTGGTCCCTGCGGTCAAATATTCTGACAGGTCGTCAGGCCTGAAGCAGAAAGATGAGAAATTGAGCATTATTTATAAGCAAATGCAACAGGAAAACTAGTTATTTAAATAGTAAAGGTATCTGCTATAAAGGTATTATCCATTCATAAGTCTTTACAGATTCCTTTGAGGGCCAATTTACAATGCATTTGAATTACAACCAGGAAAAGGAGTTCTAAAAGGCACCTGAGAATTTCATTGTCGTCGTCATCATCATATTTCAGTATTTCGTCAGCAGCCATATCGTCGTCTGAGGAGGTGGCCCAATGGGGGGGTTACCGGGACACGACCAGGGATCATGGAATACAATCAGAAGCATAAAATGGGGGAAAATTAATACACTGTCCTAAATTTATTCAATGTATCCCAATGCAATACATAAAAATAATGTATTCAGAATACATTTACAGCACAACTTGGTAAGGCAGAGGAAAATCCAGCTCCCACAGTCACCCGAGAGTTCAGTACAACACCAATGCTAAACTTACCACTCGCAAACTTGTCCACTAGACACACTGAGATTAATAACCGATCGTCATATTGATTTATCAGTCTACTCAGGCTTTAGCAGAGCTCAGTAACACTAAGATTAACAACTGATCATTACATTGATTTATCAGTCTACTCAGGCTTTAGCAGAGCTCAGTAACACTGAGATTAATAACTGATCACATTGATTTATCAGTCTACTCAGGCTTTAGCAGAGCTCAGTAACACTGAGATTAATAACAGTTCGTCACATTGATTTATCTGTCTACTCAGGCTTTAGCAAAGCTCAGTAACACAGATTAATAACTGATCATCACATTGATTTATCAGTCTACTCAGGCTTTAGCAAGAGATTTAGTGTTTGTAAACAAGTCGTTATTTTAGGTCTTCTTTAGAATTCATCTATCAAGCATGTTTCCTACATTGTGCACTGAATCTAAAATAGTTTATAAACAACCATTGATGGGGTTTCTTTTGAAGACTGAACTTTTAATGTAAAGAATACTAAAAAGTATTCTCCTAAACTGTAATAAGTAATTGGATTCTATATACTAGCTTTGCAAAATGTAACTTGTACTGAATACACATTCTTAATTTCTGTATTCTGAATATATAATCTCAATACTCGTATTCCATTACATCCCAGCCCTAGTAATGACCATGTCAAGGTCACAGATATTCCATAACAGGTCAGTGGAGGTAGTCCAGAGGACTGACTTCATTATTTACAGCTATTAACAGCTAACTGTCTGAAAGATCAGTGACCCATTCACTGAAGTGTGATACATTATCTAAAACCAAGATAATGGTGTCAGTGCTGTTCCCCCTAACTAATACTCTTGCACAACTGTTTACTCGACAACCTGAGCCCTATTTGGAAATCCCACCATCTTTATCCTCTTACCTGTAATTGAAAATACGTATATATCTATATCAACACTCACTGAAACCGTTGCAAAGCCTAGTCCCAAATCCCAGACCGAGCTGTTTGTGTTGAAGTGCTGTTCCACACTGCTGCAGGCCTTTTAGGGCAAAGTTTTGAATTCTCTGCTCCTATTGTTGGACCATTTTGAATGAATACACTCCGGGTATTTACATAATATCATGTTGGCCTACATTGTTTATGTTATTTACCTTGTTTTGCTTCCGGTTTGATGTCCTCTTCGTGCTCTGAAAGAGTTGAGAGTCAGCTTTGTTTACCTCCCGTGATATTTTCACCACCCGTATTCCGACTAGCCCCGCCTTCCTGCGCTGTGATTGGCTAGCAGTCAATAAACACGAGAAGTCCGCCTGTTGGGTTTTTAAAATTATTATTTTATTAAAGCAATTATAAAGAAACATTGATAATATACATCTCTACAATGAGTGCGTGAATGGGTAAATTAGATAACAAATAGCTAAATAAATAAATAGATCGATAAATAGATAGATAGAAATAATAATAATAATAATAATAATAACAATAACAATAATAATAATGATAATAATAACACCAAGATATAATATTGATAATATATTTGCAAAGCTCCCGAGGTCTCCATTCGCCTTTTTAACACGATTTTGCTTTTGGAAATTTAATGTTTTTCAGATAAAACAAATTAATTAATAACAGGTTTAAGAGCTCTGTTCGAAAAAAAATAAAAGGCCTGCTGGCGGACGTAAACCAGGCCTACGTCAGAATACGTATTAGCCAATCCCAGCACAGAAGGGCGGGGCTTACCGGAAAACGGGTGTGAAATGCAACGCGGTCAAATTCGTGGCCCGGATCACGTGTGTGATGATGAAAACCGGGCCTCTGCCCCCTGCTGGATGGGCCGGATAGCACACTCAAACCCGGCTTTACCAGAGTTTGAAGGGGAGTCTGGTTACTTGCTGTTTCTCCTGCTAAACGCCAGAGGGCGCCCGCGAACGAATCCTCAATGAATGGGGGTGAATGGAGCTCAACGGCTAAAAAGGAGAAGTTAAACATGTTTCTAACCATTTTAAGGGAAATTCCTTTAAGTTTAGAAAGTAGGAGGATATGTTTTGCTAAAAAAGGAAAACCTACCAAGATGTTTCTGTTTTTCTACAGCAAAAACATTTTTAAAAGTCACCGTACACACTTAAAGAGAATGGTTATGTTTAGTACGACGTTTTAGGGCCACTGTTAATGAAAATAAACAAAGTAGACTTCGAGAATAAAGTCATATTCGGAGGGTAAAGTGGGCTGACTGTAGGGGGGCTAACTGTACGGGGGCTGCCATAACGCGTTGGGGTCTCGGTTGCTGTACTGGCACCGGAGCTCCACTCACTCCTGTCTCTCTGTGGATCATTTTGATCTTCATTCTCACTGTGTGTGAAACTTCATGCCCTCTTTGAATGGGGGGAGATGTAGCCCCCGATAGCCGTGTAGACGACCCTCCCTGAGATTCTCCTTCAACAACACAGACAGACAGTTTCGTCCGAGTCCGTCTGGCTCTTTATTCTAGATAAACACAGTTTCCTGCTCCGCCGTTTCAGCCGGTTCTTATACTATAACAGGCTGGTGCTGATGTGCAGGAGAGACAGGGAGACTGAGTGTTTCTTTATGGGTGAATCGATATGAAAGTAGAACTCCACCAACTCACCGCCCTCATTTAACACGAAGAGGTGCTGCTTCCCTTCGCAAAGCCTTTGGCCACAATAGTACGACTTATTTCTCAAAATAGTACGACTTTTTTCTCTAAATATTATGATTTTTTCTCAAAATATTACGACTTTTTTTTTCTCGAAATAGTATGACTTTTTTCTCAAAATATTGAAACTTTTTTCTCGAAATATTACAACTTTTTCTCAAAATAGTACAACTTTTTTCTCAAAATATATGACTTTTTTCAAAATATACGACTTTTTTCAAAAAGTACGACTTTTTTCTCGAAATATTATGACTTTTTTCTCAAAATAGTACGACTTTTTTCTCGAAATATTATGACTTTATTCTCGAAATAGTACGACTTTTTTCTCAAAGTCTACTATTTTTATTTTTATTAACAGTGACCCTAAAACGGCTTCGTAGTTTAGAACCAAGAGTTCTGTATAAAATCGTTTCATGCTTAAATGGTTCTCTGCATGGTGAAATGGCTCTTCAGACTCATAGAGAATGTGTTCAATGTAGCACCAGAAAAGGTTCTGCTGTTGTTACAATGTCAGGGTAACTCTTTTTGATGCTATATAGAACCATTTTTAAAAGGTTCCATATACAACACGTTCTCCATCAACCTGAAAAACCATTTCGCAATCTTTTTTTAAGTGTGCACATCTCAAATATTCAAATATCCCTGAAAAACCTCGCCATGTTTCATCATTAGGAGATTTAAAGCTGAAACTAGCGCCGCAGAATCAGCACAACAGCACCATCTAGTGGACACTACCCGGAACATCACCATCATTTTGCATATAGAGTGCTGGGCTGTCAGGTCCATGTCATGTGGTGGAATACCTGGCTCAGGTGGGCTATAACTGCAGTGGAGTAGATTAATATATACAGGGTTTTCAAACACACTATAAACAGTATTTTAAAGGGCGTACGTCATGGATGAATTCATTTTTAAATTAATTAATTAATTTGACATGTAAAGTATGCAGACACTGCCAAAGATTCACTCCTTGATCTGTACAGTCTAAGTTTGGAAGCTAAGCTGCAAAAACAGCCCATGTCGTCTTGTTTTTGTGATGTCATAAAAACACAACTCATCCACAAATGTCTGCCTATTCAGCCTTCAGCACTTTAGCCCCGCCCACTCACACTGAAGTTATGAGGAGTGGTATATCCTTGACTGCTTCTTGAATGAGGCACAGCACAGGGCAGCCAGTCAGAGCAGAGCTCATTTACATGTATCAGTCTTAAAGGCACAGTAACAGACAGCCTGGAAAGGTTTGAAAGTGGTCATACAAAAATTAATTATACCACATAAATATATATATATATATATATATATATATATATATATATATATATATATACATATATATATAAATAAATAAATATAAAAATGTGTTATATATTTTGTATATAACACAAAAATCTATATAATATAATATAATATGTATATTAGCCTCTTGTGACTGAAACGTACCTAATAGCGTGTAATGCTTCCACGAGTACGAATAACAGCTGCGATTCAATTTAGCATGGACTGGACAAGTTTCTGGATGCAGACAATCAATTCACAAACCATGACACTGAAGATGGTCACCTTATGAGGGCATTCATTATAAAAGACACTTAATCATAACCATCAATCATATACAGTTCATTATACTGTACACTTGATTCTATAACATGAACAAGTTAGCAGTGTAGATGAGACAGACAACCGCAGGACTTAATTTGAAGAAGAAGCTTAAGACATACTATTATTATTATTATTATTATTATTATTATTATTATTGTATTACTTTTTTAATTATTATTATTAATAATAATAAAATAAATACTAATAGTACAGCATTCATTCTTTCATTGTGTATTGATCTTTATTAATGTATTATTAGTTTTAAGTTGTTGTTTTCAACGTTCAGTCGTTAATCGAGTCTTTTCGAGGAGGAGAGAGACTCCAAAGCAGTGTATACATTTAGTGTAATGAGTGCAGTTGCAGGTTTCCTCCGCTAGATGGCAACGAACACTATGTAATGATCTGTAGATCTGATTTGAAAGAGCGTCACCTTAAAAAAAAGGTTTCTTTATAGGTTATTTAGTAAAATGAATGGCGCTATTTAGAACCACGAGTTCTGAATAGAAGTATTTCATGTTTTAATGATAATTTGCTTTATAAAATAGTTCTCCAGGCTGATGGAGAACGTGTTGTATATGGTTCTATATAGAACATTTTTGAAAAGGGTTCTGTATAGCACCAAAAAGGGCTCTTCTATTGTTACAGGCTTGACATGGTAACAATAGAAGAACTTTTGTAGGTACTAAATAGAACACTTTTCAAAAATGTTCTATAGAGAACTGTATTCAACACATTCTCCATCAATCTGGAGAACTATTTCACAATCTCTATGTAGAACAAATTCTATGTAGAACCATATACAGGACATTCTCCTTTAATCTGAAGAACGATCTAACGATGCAAAGAACCCTTTAATCACACAAAGGGTTATTTGAGTATTCTATATAGAACCATTTTCTACTAAAACCTTTAAAGAACCATAATTTTCAAGAGTTTATTACAGATAATGGGTCTATATAGAACTCTAAGAACCCTTTACATGATTAAAGCGTTCTTTGCATCATTGCATCATGAAAGAGTTCTTCAGATTGATGGAGCACGTGTTGTACACGGTTCTATTTAAATTTTTTGGAAAAGAGTTCTAGATAGAACCAAAAAGAGTTCTTATATTGATACATGCTTGACACTCTAACAGTAGAAGAACCTTTTTGGTGCCATATTGAGCCCTTTTCAAAAAAAGCCCTACATAGAACCATATAAAGTACATTCATTCATAAATCTGAAGAACCACTTCACCATGCAAAGAATCATTTAGGCACGAAATGGTTCTTTATAGAACTCTTGGTTCTCTTTACTAAAGAACCCTTGAAGAACCACCCTTTCAAGTGTACATATACATAGTGTACAGTACATATAGAACCCTGACAACATGGTTAAATAATGAGTAACTGTTGTTTGGATTTCTTGAAAGTCTTTAAGGAACCTTTTACAAATGGTTCTATATAGCACCTAAATAGGTTCTACTTTTGAAGAACATTAAAAGTTGGGACGCTGCACAAAAAATAGAATGCAATGATACGCAAATCATGTAACCATATTTTTTAAAGGGAAATACTACAAAGACAACATATCAAATGTTGAAACTGAGAAATTTTATTGTTTTTTGAAAAATATTTGCCCATTTTGAATTTGATGCCAACAACACGTTCCAAAAAAGTTGGGACGGGGGCCTGTTTACCACTGTGTTTCATCACCTCTTCTTTTAACAACACTCTGTAAGCGTTTGGGAACTGAGGAGACACTGCTGTAGTTTTGAAAGTGAAGTGTTTTCCTTTTCTTGTTTGATATAGAATTTCAGCTGCTCATCAGTTCAGGGGCTCATTTGTTGTGTTTCTCTTTTCATAATGCGCCAAATGTTTTCAGTGGTGACAGATCTGGACTGCAGGCAGTTTAGCACACGAACTCTTTTAATACAGAGCAGTTCTGTTGTAATACATGCAGGATGTGGTTTTACATTGTCTTGCT